TAGGCAAATAGGTCCCTTAATATTATGTAAATTGTAGATTCAAAAATTTTCAAAATTCATTTGGAATATTGGTAAAATATGTACTTTTGTAAGTATTTTCTAATTTTAAAATTCAATTTCTCAGACTACGAAAAAATTATCTCTAAAATTTCACAAAGCAATACTTGAATTTCATTTACGATGCATATATCTCTTTATTATACGTCTTATTTCGTTTTTGTTTTTTTTTTTTTTTTTTTCATTTGCCTTACTTCAAATTTTGGTGTAAAACTTGCACCAACCGATTTACATCAAACAAACATGACAACTCCTTCAATATGCTGAATTTAAACTGAGCTTTCTTCTTTTCTGTAATCAATTAAAATTTAGAAATTTGCTTTTATGTTTCATAATAATTGTCTGCTTTACACTCGAGCGGCCGGACCTTGTTCCCGGGAAACTTGCTTTTTGATATAAATAAGTACATAAGAATATTGTTTTGTTTAAAATTGAAGAAATAAGAAAAGAAAAAAACTAAAAGGGATCTTAATTTTGTCTACAAAGAACCTATTAGTACACGTGGATATTCTTCTGGTTAAAAAGATGAAAAATATATAGTATTTAAAAGGACAAACTAAATAATTATAGTGCTCATGATTTATATATTTTTAATATTTATCATATACTAGTAATTAGTAAATTGGTAATACAAGTAATCCAACATCTTATTAAACGTGTAGAGTTTGTGTTTCCAATCTAAATGATTAAACATCTCCTCTTTTTTTTAAAAAAAACTTAAATTATTTGTGAGTACTTGTATGATGTACGAAAATAATTCATTAAGTATTTAATTTTGTTAATACGCATGCCTCTACTTATTTTTGTTAAAGAAGAAAAAAAAATAAAAAAATAACTGAAGTTATTAATTAGTCTGTGGAAGCTCCCTTGGCTCATTGGTTGACCAAGGGTTGATTAATGCTTCTACACTAAGAGGTCTGGGGTTCGAGTCCCAGATATTGCGATTTATTAACAAATTTGCAGATTAATGGAGGCAAGTGTGCAGGAGATCTCCAGCGATGTACAATTATAGCCGTGCGCCAGGATTCTACGCAGAGAAGGAAGTGTCGCCAGGTCGTGGATCATTGAAGGTATTCATCAAGATCATGAAGAAGGAAGTGTAGTCTGTCGTGGATCTACTAAGGGTCGGCAGAAATTGTCAGTTGTAGAAACGTCTATGTAACAGTTCTCGTAATTTGCAATTAATAATAAATCTAGACGACAAAAAAAAAAGAAGTTATTAATTAGTCTAAGTTCTAACTTCCAACTCATGTTAAGAAGAATTATTTAACTACAAGAAAATAAAGTTTATAGAAGATTATACATCTTAATTAATTATAATACATATTAATTATTTGAATCAAACAAACCATAGTAATTGTTTATAACTTAAGTCTTTTATTTGTACTTGTACTGCAATTCTTATGAAGTTCAAAGATTCAAGATAAGTACCTACAAAATCTCGGTCACACATAGCCTTTCTTTCATAGCCTTTTCTCTATTATTAGGCTCATGTATGTATATACGTATTCGGAAAAGAAAAAAAAAAGTATGTATATACGTACACAGAGCAATATACCACAGCATATAATATGACTATATACTTACGTATGTATATATGTAAAGAGAGAAGGAGAATATCGATGACATAAAGTATCATTATGTAATGACCAACTTGGTAAGATGCATCTTTAACTTAATTATATAGTAATATTTTAGCATTTAAACTTGTACTTTGATGTTCCAAATTGAGCAGTCGTTTGTCTAGAACATGCAGCTTCGTAAACCATAAAGTTTAGTTTAATTTTCTGCATTAGTTAAGGTTCAAAACCTGGATTTTTTAAAAAACAAATGTTTCACACATAAATCATTAGTTGTTAAACAAATGTATAACACATAAATCGATCTATGAACCATCAAACTGAAAAATAACTGGGCGATAGATACTTGTTGTTGATTTTAATATGACATTATTTTATAAAAAAAATATAAGACATTATAAAGAAAGAAAAAAATTCCTTGCATAAACTTATTTTTCCTTGCTTATACACATATATATATCACAAAAACTTTTTTCATAACATATTAAGTTGATTATCTTTAAGTCGTTTGAAAGATTTGAATTGGAGCACTTTTGTTAGATCTCATCTTTGGTTGCTATAACAACTCTACTCACGCATTATCAAGCTTTGTTGAGTTTGTGTCTCTATCTTTGTATCGTGTTGTATATATATGTTTCTTTGTTCTAGTTTGTGTCTCCACTGTAATCGCTAAATTAAAATGAAAATTTAATTGTTAGAAAAAAATACCCCAATAAGATAAGATCGACGGCGTTTTTGGAAAGAAACCGTATTCTAACATATCACAAAACCATAACATACACCACATAAAGAATTAAAATATCAATCTTTTCGCTTATCAATTTTTATTAGCTTTATGAAAAGAAGTAATACGAATCTATATTATATAGGTTTAAATGACATCTTATGTACATTGAACTTCAACAAGTACAAAAAACATTGAATCGTGTCCCGTAAAGTGTAAATTCTATGGAAGTGGTAACATGGTTATCATCATCTAATGTCTCTCCAACTAATTAAAGAATATAATTGATAATAAAATATATAAAATATTCATAAGAGACTCATCGATTCATATTAAAAGTGGGAAATGAATATGAAAAATTTTGGGGCATGACGAATTTGATATAATATCTATACAATTTTGATACTATTTTTGTTCCTGCACATAAATCCGCTAATCCCACACATCTCCATCTAGAACCTTTATTAGAAAACAGAATAGATTCAAAATTATAAGAGTTTAAAATTTGGGTTATAATTTTGAGATTGGAAGAATTATCAAAAAATGATTGGATATCCGATAATATCACATCAATAGAATAAATTCCATTTAGCATAACCAAATTTTTCTTTAATTATAGTATTATTATTTACCAAATGTCGGCAATGAAAATAATATTTTACCAAATGATTTCGGCACAATTGAACGAATTAATTATGGAATAAATTCTTAGGTTCAAGAAAGAGTTTATTATCATGAGGGAGACAATATAATGTGGGGCATGCATCCAATAAAATGTTTCCCAAGCATCCAATAATTTGATGATGGCATTTGGCAAATAACAAAAACAATATTAGTATAACTATTTTTTGATAATATGTAATATATATTAGAATATCAGTTTTATTACTATGTAACGTAAAATTATATAGACCCTAGCTTTTTCTAGCTATCGTTAAACAGTTTTGAGCTAAAGAGAGGATCGATGAAAGTGCAACGGTAAAATTAGTTCGTCCTTGTGTTGCAACAATTGATTTAAACTTAAATCTAATTTCCCATGAGATTGCTTGCTAATCTGATCAAAATTTTATTAAGTTGAGTATTTATTTATTTTTGTTGGTTCGAGTAAATTCGTAGAGAGTGATTTTATTTCTTCGAAACTATCATCATACGATGCATTTTTTTAGTAGCTGAAACATAATGTTTTTGATATTGTTTGTCCAATCAATATACCTTTGTGTTATTTCATTTGTCTAATCCAGAACCAACATGGGCCATATATTTTCCAGGAATCTTTTGTTTGTTTGTAATTATTGAAGCAACAAATAATTCATTTCGTGGAAAATAGTCTAAATCTGATGACTCTCACCGTAACATCAGAATATCAGATGATGAACTAGACAGTTCACGAATACAGATTTCAAGTATCCCTCGTGGATTTCTTCTGTTAAGGCTCATATATAAGACCATCTCCAAGGAGACACCAAAACACCAAATTTGGTGTTAATTCAACTCCAACGTGACACTATAATAGACACCATATTTTTTTTTTGGTGTTTTGATTTAGTTTTATATTTAAATTATTGTATATCAAAGAAAAGATAAGTATACCATCAACATTTTTGTATGTTCTCATATTTTATAATGTGAAATTTTAATTAAATTAATATGAAACAATTATTTGCACAAATTTTCTAAATAAATATGAAATTTCTATTATTTTTAGTTTATCGATTGTAATCTTATATTAATTAAAATAAAATAAATCAGTTTTAAAGATAATTGGTGTTTATCAAACTATTAAAAATAAAGAGAATTTTAAATTTAATAATATAATAATAAAAGTTTTGTTTTTGGTGTGAGATTTGGTGTTTATGGTTGGAGATAGAAAAAAAAATGGAACACCAAAACACCAAATTTGGTGTTTTGGTGTTCTATGGTTGGAGTTGCTCTAAGGTTACAATTTGGTGTTTTGGTGTTCTAAGGTTACAATTTTTTTTTTTTTTTTGAATTTAACTTCGATTTCGCTAGTCCAAATGATTACATAGCATGTTTGGTTTATCAACCTCTACTGGAGACTATAACCACGAAGGACAATCAGAACTTAACCAGGTTATATATAACAGTGGCAGGAGAAGCTACTGCTTGTAAGGCGATGTTATTTGCAACTTGATTAGCCTCTCGTGTTGCAAACTTTATCCGAGAAACTTTGAGCAAGGTTTAAGAATGTCCTGACGGAAGAACATGTCGAATCGATGAAAACCACTTAGGCACTGACTACATTTTGGGCATCTGTTTTCGACATTACTTCATTACATTAATCACGTACTTAATCACGACGAGATCAGTTGTCTTATTATGGGTTTAGCTGTGTCCCCGTAAGATGGGTGTACTTTTTGTTGGGTTAATAATAAATGCTATAACCCAACAAGACAGATAAATCTTTTAACATAAACAAGAAAAATAGTAAAATACTGTGTAGTTGCGGCCTGACATTCGTATGTTAATAAAACAATAATGGGCTCTTTTCTCTAAATAGCCCAATACGTTTTATTGTTCAGTTTTGGTAGGCCATTTAGACCGGACATAATTCGTCAAGCAAAGACTGCCGAAGAATTATCAAGACTTTGAGCTTTCAAAATATCAACAAAGATATCAAATTCAAATTCAAAATATGAACCAAAGCAGAACAGAGAATTAAAGGAAACTCTCCAGATATCAACAACAGACAGATACAGAGCGTCAAGGGCATTGCATTTCTTATTATAACTCAACAAAAATACGCTGAAACAATTTGTTTTCGTGTTCTATGCCGCCTAAAGCATGAAACTTTTTCAAAAGATGAAATGATGAAACAAAGCCCTACACAACAACATGGAAGCACTGAATTCAGAATAGGCACAAGAGAGAGAGAGAGAGAGAATAACCTCAATCAAGGGACTGAGTCTACGCTTTACTGACTCTTCCTTGCAAGCTTAGTCCATTCAGTGTGGTACGCACCAGGACGATCGGTTCTCTCATATGTATGAGCTCCAAAGAGATCTCTCTGCGCCTGAACCAGATTCGCAGGTAATCTCGCACGCCTGTAAGTGTCGAAATACGCTAAACTTGCGCACATTCCTGGTGTACTTATCCCAGCAGAGATAGCAAGTCCCACCACTCTCCTCCACGCAGCTTGCCTCTGAACCATCTCTTTAGCAAAATCAGGATCAACCACTAAGCTTGCCAAATTCGGGTTTCTCTGATAAGCTTTCTTGATCCTGTCCAAGAATACCGCCCTGATAATACACCCGCCTTTCCAAATCCTAGCCATTTCACCCAAATTCAAATCCCACCCTTTCTCTAAACTCTTAGCCCTAAGCAAATTCATACCTTGAGCATAACTACAGATCTTAGAAGCATACAAAGCTTGCCTCACATCATCAATCAACCTCTTCTTATCAACACCACGAGACGCAGAACCAATATCCTCCTTCAATCCAGCATCTTCCAACACTCTAGCAGCATTCTCCCTCTCATCCTTCAATCCACTCAAGTATCTACAATCCAACGACGCAGCAATAGTAGGCGCCGCAACAGAAAGCTCAGCCGCCTGCTGAACCGTCCATTTCCCAGTACCTTTCATACCAGTCTTATCCAAAATCTTATCCACTAACTCTCCATCACCATAATCATCCTTAACCCTAAAAATATCCGAAGTAATCTCAACCAGGAAACTCTCAAGCTCACCTCGATTCCACTCCGTGAAGATCTCAGCCAATTCATCATTACTCAATCCACCAACATTCTTCAACACATCATACGCCTCGGAAATCAGCTGCATATCACCATATTCAATCCCATTATGAACCATTTTCACAAAATTCCCAGATCCACCTTCTCCAATGTAAGTAACACAAGGACCATCTTCAACTTGAGCAGCAACTTTCTCAAGAATATCTTTAACATTATTATACGCAGTGAAAGATCCACCAGGCATAAGCGAAGGACCATTACGAGCACCTTCTTCACCACCGGAGACTCCCATACCTAAATAAAGCAATCCTTTCTTCTCAGCTTCAACGATTCGTCGTTCTGTGTTCTGATACCACTCATTTCCACCGTCGATGATACAATCACCAGGCTCCATGTATTCGGAGAGTGCTGAGATTGTTTGGTCAACGGGAGCACCGGCTTTGACAAGGATGATAACGGATCTAGGCCGTTGGATGGAGAGAACGAAATCGCGAGGAGAGTATTGACCAGCGACTGGGAGATTTCCTTCGTCGGAGGCACGATCTAGGGTTTCGTCGACTTTGGAAGTGGTTCGATTGTAGACGGAGATTGGGAATCCTTTCTCGGCGATGTTTAAAGCGAGGTTTTGTCCCATGACTGCAAGACCGGCGAGACCGATGCGAGATAGAGCGGCGGACTCCATTTTTGAGAGATAGAGAGAGAGAGAGAGAGAGAGAGAGGTTAGCGTTTTGACGGAGGTTGGTGGTGATGGGAGAGAGAGTGGCGGAGATATTTATACGGTGAAAGTGACGGACTCGTCGATGGAGCCAAGAGACAGGCTGACTTAACAAACTGGTGAAGAGTTTTTGTTAGGTGAAGATGACGCTCACTGTTACGACGCCGTTTTGGTTTCTTTAGTTTTAAATTTGGAACTTTCGGTTTTGGTTAACCGAGTTGAATTGGGAACAATGGCTAGAAAGCCACTTTCACGGAAAATAAAAGCTAGAATGCCACTGTCTTTTTTATAATTTTATATACTTTTTTTTAAAAAATCAAAAGTGATGAAAATGTCCAAAAAACCTTTAGGAAATTAGAAATTACAGATCCAACCTAAACAATCCGACCCAAATCTAATAAAACAGATTACCCAATCCGACCCACTTCCCTAATTGTAAAAGAAAATTATAGAAGTAAAACTTAGAGAAAAAAAATCTCGAAACTGATCTTTTCGTAGCATATGCCGGAGAAATCAAAATCGAATCGGTGAGGATGAAGATGAACCGGACTGTATCATCGAACTTGGAAACAGAGAGTTACAACAAATCACCACTCTCCTCTTCAATTTTATTCTCCGTTATCAGAGGCCAGAGATCGTTACGTTTTTTTTAGGGATCTCCGTTCAAAATCGAGAATCCCATGCCTTTGACATCAAGCGCTCTGCTTCTCTCTTGTTGCCATGTCTAATTTCAGCACGAAAAGCAGCTAGCCATAGCCCATAGCTCATCCGCCTAAGGGTTTTTCTTCCTGTCCAGAGTGAGAACTACACGAGCTTTGTTGAGCCCATTCACTTTCTCTTCAAGATCAGCGAGCGAGAGCCACAATGTTGTGCACTCGGGCCAGTGCGTCAAACCAGATGTATAAGCGTTGTTCCAATTGCCTAAACATTCCCCCAAGCTACCCAAGCATCAACCAAAGCTTGAAGAATGCTGGATAAAATGAACAAGCTTTGATTTCTTGACTTCCAAAGTAAAATGAATAGGTTTTCAGTTTTCAAGAATTCAGAAGTTGAGCATGCGAAGCGTATCAAAGAAGTGGCGGAAGAAGAGCTTAATGGTTACGAAGTTGAATTGTCTTTAAACGATGCTACGATTCAATCTCTGGAGTTTTTTTTTTTATTTTCTTTGATTTTACTTGGTTTTTGGGATGATTAACAAGTTTTGGTGTCTAGTGAGAATGAAACAAGTTCTTCTTCTTCTTATTGTCTGTGATGCAAAATTGTGAAACAAAGGTTTTTTTTTTTTAATAATCTGTTTAATTGCAGGTGTGGGTTGGCTTTTTGCTACAACTGTGGAACTCCATCCAGGGACCATTCTCATTATTGTTTTATTTGTGAGCGTTGATGTTTTGCATCAGTATTTCTTATTATAGGTCTCTAAAGCTAAAGTTTAAGCTTTATGGATATGAATTTCTATTTGGTCTTGATGCTTTGTACCTTATTTTCTCTTCTTTAAAACCATCTTGATAGTTGTTTTCAAGAAATCAAATTGGTGATTATTTGTGTCTTTGAGATTTCTAGAAGGCAAGGAGAGTTTAGATGATAGAACTAGGTGTAATACTTTTTGCTTGATTTTGGGTAGATGTAGAAAGACACTGACTTTGCGTTAAATCATATGATTATGTTAGTGACTAATGCCCATGGCAACACATGACTTATATTTTCGATTAAGCTTTTCGTTTATACGTATCATATTGTATGCAATCGTTTATTTATGTACAACTGGTATATTTAGGTACAACTACGTATAGATACAACTGGTATATTTTGGCTTTGCAGTGTTGCTCTGTCAAAGATAGGATAAGTGGAAGGAAGAGCTTGATCAAGAACTGGAAAGAAAGCGCACAAGTCAAGTCTGCACGTACTTGTGGATTAAGATTGCACATGACTTATGTTTTTGTATTTCATTTCTGTATTTTGTTGTGTTGTTGATTAAGAACATATGACTTCATGTTATTGTAAACCAAAAAAATATTTAGATTATATTTATGTTTAATTGGTTTTGTAGGTACAACTGGCCTATTTAGGTACAACTACGTGTATGAGTTACTTATAAGAAAGTACAACTAGATCATTTAGGTACAACTGAGACAATTAAAAATAACCTTTTAAAAAATAAAAAAAATAATTAAAATTGGTATTAAAATAAATTTAAACAAAGTAAAAAAAAATAAAAAATTAAAGATGACGTAAGCATGATTTTTGGCGGCGGAATATTAATTTTAAATCATCACACGTGTGGTAAGGTGGGCCAAAGACAGCATGATATTAATAAAAAATTATTTTGTTTTAAACAGAGTTGTACCTAGTTGTCCAGTTGTACTGTCATATTCATAGTTGGACTTTTGCGATTTTTGTGTATTTCCAGTTGGACTTAAATGAATATTAGTAATTTCTAGTTGTACACATGATGTTACACTATTAATTATCGTTTAAGAGGTTTTCATAATACAATGTTCAGAAAAACTCGGATTTCACCTCTTTTGCTTCATATGAGATGATCACTTACTAAATCTTCCTTATATTAGAAGAAGTATGTTTTGTGAAAATGAAAAAAATGGTTACGAAATTGATAAATTCTGGTTGTATTGATTTCAAATAGTCTATTTATATTTGAAGATGTTTTTGGAGAATTTTTCATATAAATCTTAATTTACAATTTATTATAATTTAATAAACGTAGTTGAACTAGTTGAACTAATAGTATATATTAGGAAAATAATTAGTTCGATTTTTATTTATTTAAAATTATTTTATTAGAGTTCAGGATGTTTTTGGAATCGTTATTAACTCTAATTTATCGTTTTCATATTTGTTGTATAGAAATACATATACATTTATGGTCTTAGTTGTACTCAGTCGAACCTAATTGTAGAAATATGATGAATATATTTATATACAAATATGTTCTTAGTTGTACCTAGCCGAACCTAATTGTACAAATTCGATAAATTCAAATACAGATATGTTCTTAGTTGTACCTAGTCGAACCTAGTTTTAGAAATACGACAAATACTAATACATGTTTTTTTTTTCCAAATCATTGAATAACTCTACATCCCAAATTATATAGTATTGGAAAATATTTTGTCAAGAAGAAACAGAACAAAGTATTTGATATAACCCAACATTAGAAAAGCAATCCAAATCTTGAGAACGGGCAAAGGCTCAAAACAATCCAATCAAAGTATAGCAGCAGCACTCGTGTTCAGAGTTGGTTGTAGGAGAGGACCGATCACCATAGTCGGGTTAATAGTAACAATGTCTAAGCCTTTCTCTTTAGCGAGTTTCCAAGCGGCATCTTCCGCCAAAGTTTTGGATAGAACATACCACATCTAAGTCAAGTAGTAAAGCATACCATTTTAGTTTGAAGAGCGAACATTAGAGCACAATAAAGCGACGACTAGTTGATAGTAGATGACAACAAAACCAAGTTTCATCATAAATAAAAATGAAACATGGATCAACTTTCAAAACAAACCTTGGAGGACTCGCAAAGCTCAGGATCAGAGAACCAAGTTTCATCGACGGTAACATCAGGTGTGCATGGTTTTCTATTGTAACCAACGGCTGCCATGGAGGAGGTTACAACAACCCTTTTAACCGAAGAAGCTTTGGTGCAAGAATTCAAAACGTTAAGTGTCCCCTTGACCGCATGATCGATAAGTTCAGCCTGAAATTGGGATAGGAAGTTAAATCATCAACCCACAAAATAAAAGGCAAGTTTTTGAGGGAATAAAAACAAAACCTGTGGGTCTTTGACATCATGAAAAAATGGAGAAGCAGTGTGGAAAACTCCATGGCAGCCATCAATAGCAGAGTCGAAAGAACCTTGTTCCAAAAGGTCTGCTTTGAACAAGTGAAGTCTTTCCTTTGCACCTTCCAGTGAAACTAAGTGTTGTGTCTTTCTCGGATCACCTGTGTATATATAAGGTGAAATCATGAAAGAGCCAAAACTATGATTAGTACAAACAGACCGGAAAATCAAAGGATCATTCTTGGCGTTTTAGATTGTTCGTAAGATAAATTTTGGTATCCAAAGCATCGATTTTTAAGATTGTTCGTAAGATAAAATACTCTTCTAAGAACTTACTTGCTTCAATCGAGATCCAAGAATGGAGGGGAAGAAAGATGACGCTGCGACGGAGGAGGCGACGGCCGGCGAAATGGATGACTTAACCAAAACAGAGGAGGAGCGTTTCGGGAGTAGACGAGCTGCAAATCTGTCGACCTCTCGATCCAACAATGGCGGAGATAAGTAAAGCTGCTGCGCCGAAAATGTCAGTCACTCTCTCGAGCTCTCAGCTCCGGGGAGAAGCTTCAACAATGTCGGGGGAAGGGAAGACACAGATTCGAGATTGGATCGAGAATTCATTTCTCGATTTCAATTGTTTTTTTTTTCCTTTTCAAATTAATTCAATTAAAGGATATTCAATTCATTAAGGGTAAATGAGTATTATCCTATTGAAAGGTGGCATTCAGACTCCAAAATGGCAGTCGTGATTAACATTTCCGGTTCAGTGGCAAACTAGCATGTGTCTCGTTGAATTGGTCCGATCTGAACCACATTAAACCAGTTAAATACTGGTAAAATTAGAAAAAGTTTAGCAGAGCCAGGTTTCGATCCTGGGACCTGTGGGTTATGGGCCCACCACGCTTCCGCTGCGCCACTCTGCTTTGTTGATTATTTAATTAATATTTAAATATTTAAACAAAACAAAAATGGAAAATGGAAAATGGAAAACAAAGTTTCATCTCAGCATAATTCAATTTTTTTTTCTCGCTTCTGAGAAAATCTAAAGGAAGAAGAAAACGATTACGATGTGTTTGCGGCTAAAACCATGCTTGTTCACTTAAGATAATACTATAACGAAGATTTTTGCCGGCTTAACGACCGGCGTATCTTTTCTACTCTCATTTTTAAATGATTATCGTTTAACTAAAATACAATTTTCTTCTGTTACAAAAGATTCTCTGTACCAGATAGAGACCAAACCTTTTTCAACAATGGTTGAGATTATATCTTTTTGGATTTTCTGCTTCGTGAGGAACAGAGAGCTCTTTGAAGACGATGACAAGAAGATGAACCCTTTGTTTGACTTCTTGAGAAGGAAGAATCAGAGTTTCTCGATTCTTTGTTTCTTCTCTACCGGAAAGTCAACATAACCGGCTCTTGGTCCCATTGGAGAGAGCATCATCCTAAGCTCTCTACCAGGTTTGACCAAGCTTATAGCCTTGGAGAACTTTTGATTTCGATCTTGACGCTTTAAATTACCTCTACATTCTGTTCAACATTCTGGGTGAAACGTGCGAGAGATGATGGCTTGTTGCTTGCGAAAGAAAAGGCGCATGAAAGTTAAACTCTCATGGAAGTCAAAGAAGAGAGATTTGTCTCCTGCCGGTAACTGGGCGCCAGAAGATGATGATGTTGAAGGGAAAATCGTATTCTTTGGAGGAAGTAACTATACCTTTGATTTGGATGATTTGTTAGCTGCATCTGCAGAAATTTTGGGGAAAGGTGCTTATGTCACAACCTACAAAGTAGCTGTGGAGGACACTGCCACAGTAGTAGTGAAGAGATTGGAGGAGGTGGTTGTCGGAAGACGAGAGTTTGAGCAACAAATGGAGATCGTTGGTAGAATAAGGCATGATAATGTAGCTGAGCTTAAAGCCTACTACTATTCCAAAAACGATAAGCTTGCTGTTTATAGCTATTACAGTCAAGGAAACCTATTCGAGATGCTGCACGGTAAGCTATCTTTCTGTATTCCTTGGTCTATACTTCTTTGGTCTGCCTTAAAAAACAAGAAGTCAACTTTTGCAGGAGATAAAGGAGAGAACCGAGTACCTTTAGATTGGGAGTCCCGGTTAAGAATCGCCATTGGTGCAGCAAGAGGGTTGTCTATTATCCATGAAGCAGACGACGGGAAGTTTGTCCATGGCAATATCAAATCCTCCAATATCTTCATGAACTCGCAATGCTATGGCTGCATATGCGATCTCGGCTTAACACACATCACGAAATCTCTACCTCAGACTACCTTACGTTCATCAGGTTACCACGCACCTGAGATAACAGACACGAGAAAGTCCACACAGTTCTCTGATGTATACAGCTTCGGAGTGGTATTACTCGAGCTTCTAACAGGGAAATCTCCCGCGAGTTTGCTATCAACAGACGAAAACATGGACTTGGCGAGCTGGATAAGGTCGGTGGTGTCGAAAGAGTGGACAGGAGAAGTATTCGACATCGAGCTAATGAGGCAAATGGATATAGAAGAAGAGATGGTTGAGTTGTTGCAAATAGGTTTGGCTTGTGTTGCCTTGAAACCTCAAGATCGACCTCATATAACACATATTGTAAAAATGATACAAGACATTCCAACAAACTTCAATCTTTAAAGCATTTTCTCAAACATTACCGGATTATCAAAACATAAAATTCGATTTCACATTAATTAATAGCATAAGCTAAAGTTATTCAATACAGAACCATAGAGAAAGTATTTCAAAACTAGCTAATGAAAAAAAGCATAAAGAAGATTCGGCGAATCTAAGAACACGCGTAGAGAGATATGAAGAAGCCAAACCACAGGAGAAGATCGATTCGATTCGATTGATCAAAAGCTTCGTTGATGATGGAAATTGGATGGATCAGACAGGGCTAAGGAGCTGGAAGAGATGAGGTTTGGGATCGGAGTTCATGCCGATGAAGATGACCAGAGGGATGAAGCCATAGTGAGTCGCGACTTTAGCCTTCTTCAATGACCAATTGGTCCATTCCTTAACGACCTGATACTTGGATTTGTCATCGGAAGACGAAGCTCCCTTTGATCCTTTGCCTTTTCCTTTCACCTTCAACGAAATTGTAGACTCCATTGATTCCGATCTCAGAGTTTCTCTTCGGTTGCGGAGATTTTTTTTTTTTTTTTTTGTTGCTCGAAGCCAAAAAAAAACCCTAAAAGTCCTCTTAAAGCTAGCGTTTAAGTCTCTGGATGATATAGAGGGTTCTACGGCTACCTTTTAACCGACCTTGCTTATATTCTTAATTTTCGAAAGATAAAACATTTTTTTGTCATAATCTTTTATATTCTGTTTTCCTAATTACAAATTTGGCAAATCTAATTGGGCGAGAAACTGAGAATATATAGTTTGTGTCTAAAAAAATATGAACAACATGGATCTAAATTGCATAACTAGAACATAAGTTATGAAAGACTGAAACAAGTTGAGAAAAATAAATTTGTGTCCCTAGGGAGATTATGGTTATTGACAATCAAATCAGTCAAGGCAGATAATGATTTAACATCAAAACATTCAAAATTAAGCCAATAGTTTAACGTGTACATTCAGACAAAAACTTATCTAGAACATAAGAAAAAACAAACAAACACCAAAGAGCTTCATCTTCTTCTATCAGTCGTCTTCGTCGTCGTCGTCGTAAGAGAAGATAATCTTCGTACCACAGAATTCGCTCTTCTCGCTCAGCAACTTAGATGCCTTCTGTTTCTTCAGAAGGCTTTCTCGTTCGTGCCTGGAACATAAAAAAAAACCTTGTTATCTCTCCGTGTATACCAAAAACTTCACCCAATGTGCTATCGAAAGGCAAGTAGTTAAATCCCTTACCAAAGCTTCTCTGCAAGGTTGTACCTAATTAACAAAAAAATAAATAGCATTAATATTTTGTAGTGACATCAAAACTAGAGTAATATAAGTTATAGAAACAAATCTCCATATGGAGAATCAATTTACTTGGGTCGGAGAGGGTATGGAGCTAACTCAGCCACGTCAAGAAAAATCTTTTGACTGCGCAAATTTTCACCATTCTTCTTTTGCAGCGCCTACGGTATAAAAGATTTAATCAGTAATCGTACTTTCTATTAACTACTTGTATATTTTTCATCATAACTATACACTACTTTCGAAATGACTACTTCAACACTTTTTATCATTACTATAAACTACTCTCACCTTCTTTGCTTCATTAGCAGAGGCAAACTCGACAAAGCCACAACCCACATGCTCACCCCTGTGGTTTACAATAAGTCGAACGCGGAAAACTTCTCCAACATCTTTGAAGAATTTGATGCTGTAAAAATGGATGAAAAATATCATTCATGAAAAACTTGCTCAAAGAACGAAAGAGGAAATTAAAGGTGCTACTTACATATGTGATATTTTAGTTTTGTGAGAGAGATTGGCAATAAAGAGCGTCTTTTTTTGTACGGCAACTTCCTGAATTCAACAGCCAAGTGTATTAGCGCGACTCTAAGGAGAAAAGGACTTAAACTGCCTAACAACAAAAAGTAGCCTCATCTGAAAGATTCATCCCCAAAATAAGTCATCTTTCGAATTTATGGCAACATTTCTGTTATTAACCGCTAAGCGTTTCCTCTGAGCCTGAGGTAGTTTGAAGATAATAGGAAGAGGTACCTCAACAAAAACGGGAGGTTCATCAAGTCCTTCCACTGCCTCATTTTCTTCTATCAGAAGGCTTTCTCGTCGAAGGTAGTCTTCGTACCTGGCATATCAAATATTCCTTGTGATCTCTCCATGTATACCAAATACTTCAGCCAATGTGCTTTTGATAATAAACTCAAGATGCAAATAGTTAAATCACTTACCAAACCTTGTGATCTATGCAATACCTAATTAACAAAAATAATAGTGTTAGTCTTCTATATTGGCATCAAAACTCTAGGAATAAGTTACAACCAGAGTCACATAAACAAATCTTCATAACATGGAAAATCAATTTACTTGGGTGGAGGGTATGGAGCAATCTTAGCCACTTCAAGAAAAATCTTGCAATCGTTCAAATTTTCACCGTTTTTCTTTTCATACGCCTACAGTATAAAAGATTTAATCAGCAATCACTTTCAAATGACTACTTAAATATTAATCATCACTACTGTAAACTACTCTCACCTTCTTGGCTTCGTTAGCAGAACCGAACTCTACAAAGCCACAGCCCAAATGCTTGCCATTGTGGTTTAGAATAAGTCGAACATGAACAACTTCTCCAACATCATTGAAGAAATTTATGCTGTAAAAATGGAGAAGAAAATGTTAGTGTCATGAAAAACTTGCTCCAAGAATGAAAGAGGAAATTAATGTGCTACTTACATATGCGATATTTCAGTTTTACGAGAGAGATGGGCAACAAAGAGCGTCTTTGTACTTACGCCAACTGCCTGAATTTAAAGCAAAGTGTGTGAGCACGACTCTTAGGAGAAAAGGACTTAAATTGCATAACAGCAAAAAGTAGCCACATCTAAAGACTCATCCCCAAGTCACATTTTTCGTCTTTGTAGCGACAGTTCTGTTATTAAACGCTAAACGTTTCATCTGAGCCTCACATATTTTGAAGGTAATAAGAACATGTACCTCAACAAAATCAGGAGGTGTCTGCTCTTCTTCTATCGGAAGGCTTTCTCGTCGAAGGTAGTCTTCGTAACTGAAATATCAAAAACCTTAGTGATCTCTCTATGTATACCAAAAACTTCACCCAATGTGCTCCTGATAAGGCAAATAGTTAAATCCCTTACCAAAACTTCTCTGCAAGGTTGTACCTAATTAACAAAAAATAATAGCGTTAACAAGTTACAATCAGTGTTACAGAAAAAAATCTCCAAAACATGGAAAGTCAATATACTTGGGTCGTGGAGGGTATGGAGCTGTCTTAGCCACATCAAGAAAAATCTTATGATTGTGCAAATATTCACCATTCTTGTTTTCCAGTGCCTACAACATAATAGATTTAATAAGCTATCGGACTTTCAAATACCTACACACTACTTTTCAATTACTTAATACAGTTTTCATCATTACTACAAAACTACTCTTACCTTTTTTGTTAAGTTAGCAGAAGCAAACTCAACAAAGCCATAGCCCACATGCTTACCCTCATGGTTTACAATAAGTCGAACACTAACAACTTCTCCAACATAATTGAAGAAATCGAAGCTGTAAAAGTGGAGGGTAAAATATCAGTCATGAAAATACTTGCTCCGAGAAAGAATGTGGAGAGAGATTGGAAACAAAGAGTACTTACATATCTGATATTTTAGTTTGGGGAGAGAGATTGGAAACAAAGAGTACTTTCTGAAATTTAACAACCAAGTGTGTTAGCACGATTGTAAGGAGGAAAGGATTTAAATTGCATATCAACAAAAAGTAGCCTCATCTGAAGATTCAACCCCAAAATAAGTCATGTTTCGACTTTGTGGCAACAGTTCTGTTATCAGCGTTTCTTTCGAGCCTGACATATATTGAAGATAATAATAAGAACAGGTACCTCATCAAATTCGGGAGGTGTCTCATCTTCTTCTATCGGAAGGCAATCTCCTCTACGGTAGTCTTTGTACCTGGAATATCAAAAAAGCCTTTGTTATCTCTCCATGTATACCAAAAACTTCACCTAATGTGCTCTTGATAAGACACTCAAAAGGCAAATAGTAAAATTCCTTACCAAACCTTGTGATCTATGCAGTACCTAATTAACAGAAAATAATAGCGTTAGTCTTCTGTAATGGAAATCAAAACTCTAGCAATAAGTTAAAACCAGTGTTACATAAAAAAATCTCCATAACATAAATCAATTTACTTGGGTGGAAGGTATGTAGCTTTCTTATTAGCCACATCAAGAAAAATCTTATTATCGAGCAAATATTCACCGTTCTTCTTTCGCAGCGCCTACAGTATAAAAGATTTTCATCATAAGTATAGATTACTTTTCAAATGACTTTTCATCATTACAATAAACTACTCTCACCTTCTTTGCTTCTTTAGAAGAAGCAAACTCAACAAAGCCACAGCCCACAAGCTTACCCTTGAGGTTTACAATAAGTCGAACACGAACAACTCTTCCAACCTTTTTGAAGAAATCGATGCTGCAAAAGTAGAGGATAAAAATATCAGTCATGAAAAAATTGCTCCGGGAACAAAAGAAGAAGTTAAAAGGTGCTACTTACATATTTGGTATTTTAGTTTCGTAATTGAGATTGGCAACAAAGAGCGTCTTTTTTCTCACGGCAGCTTCCTGAATTTAACAGCCAAGTCTTAAATTGCATAACAACAGAAAAAAGTAGCTTAATTGAACATAAAACTTGTACACAACAAACAGTACAATATTTAAGTGTTAAAAAATTAAACCTTGACTGAAATTAAATTGGCCTGATCAGAGTTTGTCTCCAACAAGTCGTTCTGCTGGAGACTATCAGCAAGTCCTTTGGTTGTCTCCTGTTACAACAGTAGCCGCCATTAGAAAAGGCAGTGTAAAGAAAATTGATCTCAAAGAAGAAGAGGAATCCGCAGAATCTTAGGTTACCTTGGATATTTTCTTATGTTTCTTGAGAAAGGGTTGCTTGGTCTCCAAATCATATTCCGGCTTTCGCTTACCTAAAAGAAGAGTAGCAAAAACTTCTTGAGCCAAAAAAGTTGGTATAAAACATTAGATACGAAAGCTCAGAGCCACCAAAAACAAACCCTTAAATTTAGCTTTTGCCATCGTGGAGAAGATGAAAACAGGGGTTAATGTAAATTTCCGGGAAGAGTCCGTTGGGAGCAAGCAACAAGATATAACATAAAATAACCCTAAGCGAGAGCTACGTTTATTTATAGAAGAAAACAATAAGGAAATTATCTTTATTTGTTTGGGCTGGGCTTTCATAATTTCATTGCTACCTGCTAAAGAGGCCAATCATGCTTCTTCTTCTTCTTTCTTCTCCGATTAAAACCAAGAGACCATGTCCAATCTCCACCTGTGGATATCTCCCAAGGTCAAAATTAGGGGCAATCTCCACCTGTGGATATCTCCCAAGGTCAAAATTAGGGGCAATCTCCACCTGTGGATATCTCCCAATTTTAATTCGGAAAAAGTAGAGATTTAAAATCGAAAGATATCAAAATTAGTTAATCTAATGGCATTTCCGTGTCCCGAATTAGAGAAATCGCACTGAAATTAGGAAAAAGGCAAACCTTCAGAGTAAGAGCTTCCTCGGTGATGAAACTTTCTCCATTCCAAAACCACCACTGATTCGAAGATGCGATCACCGGAAAACAACCCAAAAGCAAACACCGTCTCCATCTATCGCTAGGAGAATTCGAGGAAGAGGAAAGGTAATTACGGCTCTCATCGCTCTCATCTGAGAAGCAAAGCAAGAGAATACATTTTTCTGCTTAAAAGAGTGAATACATTAACCGAACTATACCGACCCAAATTGAAATATCGAAATTGATATAAACCGAACTCTACCAGATCCAATTATTTATTTATAAATGCATATGCCTATCTTGTCATTTGTCGATAACTAATTCGTTGATTATTATTGTTCATTTAGTCATTTGCAGTAATACAAAACCCACTATGACGAGTTGACCACATGATGACTGCATGTTATGATATTAAACTTCTGTACTAGTATTTTTAGACACTTTTGTGACGGGTGGGTAAAAATGTTTTCGGATATATCGGATACCGATCAGTTTTTAAAATTTCTTCACAAAAAATTTGTTGGGTCGGGTTATATTTAACCCAACTCATATACCGGATATTTCATATTTAATAATTTAGATATTTAGAAGATTTGATTAAAATTTATAATTATGATTCTCCTATCATCTTTGTTTGATTTGTTTTTAACTGTTTTGAATCATCATATCTATATATACATTTTTGGATGACTTTTAGCAAATAAATCCTGGAGTTGGAATGTATTTACGGATTAATGCCATTGGCATTAATTATTTAAATTTGAAAAATATTAATTAAAGATATTACCAACACGATTTCGAGAATCATAAATTCATATCTTCCTTAATTTTCTGAGTCATTAATGTGATAATCTTTAGGAAATATTTCTCTGTAAAAAAAAAATCCACATTAATGAAGGCATTAAAATCGACACTAACAATTAAATTATTTAGATATTCAATTATTTTAAGATTCTTATATCTTATTTGATATTTTTTTTTAATATCTCACTCTTTAATTACTGCGTTTAGAATTTATTGGTTGTTACCTATTTTTTGGTGAAATTTATTGGTTGTTACTTAATAAGTAATTATGGTGCGTTTATTTTAGTTAATATCTAATTTAAAGGATTTGTTTTCTTTTATTATTAATAAACGAATGACATGTATAGAAATAAAAGATTTTTCTTGCGACTCCATAATAAAAATATTAAACTCTTATTTTCTACATTTCTTACACATAATATCCTCTTATTCAATAACAAAAAATATATATTGCATATTTTTAAAAATATTTATAATATTTAAATTATATAAAAAGTTTGTAATATTAATATTATTTCAACTCTATACAAATTTAATATATATGTATATATATCTTATGGGAACCATTTAAAAGAAATTTTTAAATTGACTTGAATTATATAGCTTTTAAATAAAAGTATTATTAAAAATAAAAATAACTAAATGATGTTTAATTTCACGGGACGGGTAATATGATGGGATGGGTTTGGGTTGATATTTATAAAAGATAGTATATCACGGGTGAAATCCTAAAATTAACAAGAGAAATTGTTAAAAATGCCCCTTTTTCAATACCCCTTTTCAAAAATGCCCCCTTTGAGAGTCCATTTTTAAGTTTGCCCTCTTTTAATTTTTAATGACCATTTTACCCTTATTTGAAACAAAATTAGGTCCAGGTTTTTTACAAGTGTTTTGGCGGGAAAAATTGAGGGATCACTTTTCCCGCCAAAAAATATTTTGTATTTTGTGGATCTAATTTTGTTATATTTGTGATATCTTTTATTAAAAGAAGGGTAATTTAGTCATTTTGTACATAAAAAGGGGTATTTTTAAAAATGGACAGCCAAAGGGGGCATTTTTGAAAAGGGGTATTGAAAAAGGGGCATTTTTGTGAGTCTCCCAATTAACAATCAAAATAATCTATCAAACAAATTACATTTTGATTTTTTTAAGAAAATATAGCCCCGCGGTGTACCGCGGGTTAAAATCTAGTAATACATAAAGTAAAAAAAAAATCAATTTTTTTTCTTCATATACTCTGATTCGAAATTTTAAAAACGGACATATATTATCCAATTGACGAAAATGTGTGTTCAACGTTCTACATTGATTAAAATATTTAGACAATGATTCAGAATCATATCATAAATAAGAACATTAATAAAATAAATGAGTTTTTTTTGCCGGACGGGTTTGGCAGGACGAGTTTTTGAATCAACAATAATAAAAAGACTAAAATATCATTAATCCGCTGCTTCAATACGGATTAAATCTTTTTTTTATAATACCACAAATATTAGACATACTAAATTAGTCTCATTTAGAAAAGATTGTATAAAACCAAAATTTGTCCCGTGGTATAATGTCCCGTGGTCTTAGAGGATGATATGATTTGTAAACTTTTATATATAATAAATAATCATTAAATATAAAATAAAAACAAATTACGGAACATATTAAGAAATTACGGAATAGGTTATATTTCGGAAATGATTTATATGGCGGACGAATTTGAATCAATATTTATATACCGCTTAATACGGGTTAAATCCTCTATTTATTAATAATTGTCTCGTGGACTCGTGGTATACCGTTACTTAATAACAATTATAAACTATAATATAAATAAATATATTATAAGAAAATATAATTTACAAAATATTTTTATACTAACTTTAAAATTAAATCATTCCGCGGTGTACCGCGGATTAAAATCTAGTTATGATTACAAAATTTAAAGATATTTACTTTTTTTTTCGTTTCTTTTTTATCATATGCTTTGCACTTTGCAGTTTTGGGGTTTTCTCACAATTTAAATTTTATTTACAACAAAAAAAATATATATTTTACTTAGAACACCATATAAATTAGAATCATATAACATTACAGTTTTGGATAAAGATTGAAAATAATCATGTCACAAAAACTAGATAAAATTTCATTAAACTATGATTCTTTCATTGGTTATTTATTTATAACTAAAAATATTTTCAACCGTTCATATTTCTACACTTGGCTATAGTTTATTCAGGAAAATAGAGAATATATGTACCAAAGAGGACAATTTTACAATTTAAAAATTCATCGTGATCCAGAATCATTAGGAATCTAAGTGGGGTCAAATGAAATATAGCCCACCGTTTATAAAAAATTTCTCTTCAGAAAATTATAATTAAAATTTAAATTATACAGATATTTCCAAGCAGCCATTATTACTAAAATAAATCATATTTAATCCAATTAAAAAATATTCTCTTGCGTTTCTTCAATCATAAAAACCAAAACTTTCTCTTTCGTTTTGCTTTCTTCTAAGCATCTATCTGCAGGAGTGAATCACAAAAGCGAATTTGGAGGATTCTTTCTGAGGTAAATAAAGCTTTCTCCTTTTGATTAACCCACACGAGAAAAAGCTCGTTTCTTTTGTAGGAATTCTAAAAGCTAGTCTCTTCTTGTTCGATTCAATCAGATTAGAAAAGTTTCTGGATTTGAGCTGGAATGATCTAGGGTTAACTTGGATTACTATTTTTAGGGATTTTTCAGTGATAAAATGGCGTCGAAACGGATCTTGAAGGAGCTGAAGGATCTCCAGAAAGACCCTCCAACCTCCTGCAGTGCAGGTTTCTTCAAAAATCTCAAGTCTTTCTTTTTGTTGTTGGATCCATTACTTTATCTCTGATTATCTATTGTTTATGCTCATAAATCTGGTAACTAGAGCTTATGCCTTTTATTTAGTGTTATATAGATCACAAATGGGAAGTTAGTGTTCTCTAATTATGAGCCTGATTAGAGTTCGAAGAGTTGAGAAATGTAAAATCCTTCTTTGGTTTGTGGTGTTTTTGCTTATGTGTTGGATTTTGCTAATCTATGATTTTATATCGAATCTCGGTTTATCAGTTGAGTCAGAGACTGAAGAAATTGAGTTGCATTAATATCATAGGTCCAGTTGCTGAAGACATGTTTCATTGGCAAGCTACAATAATGGGTCCTGCAGAGAGTCCGTATTCAGGCGGTGTGTTTCTCGTTACTATTCACTTCCCTCCGGACTATCCTTTCAAACCACCAAAGGTATTTAATATTGGAACAACTCTTACAATACCACGAACTTTAGGTTTAGTAAGAGTTCCTTAAAATTCTTGGACCTAAAACTTGTATTTGCCCCCAAAAGAAATCAATTTCTTTCCTTAATCTTGACACTTTTTATTGGTTGTGTTGTTTTTATTGTAGGTTGCATTTAGGACGAAGGTGTTTCACCCTAATATCAACAGCAATGGAAGCATTTGCCTTGACATTTTGAAAGAACAATGGAGCCCTGCTCTCACCATTTCCAAGGTGACTCTCATTTTTCAGAAATATCGGTTCTCCAATGTTCGCTTATGTTCCAAAAGTATAGCAAGATCATCTACATTTTCAGTTAGGATTTTGCTCAATGCTTTCAATTCACAAGCTTTGGTTATTAAATGTTTGTTTCATGTTCCATAAATGTAGTAAGATCATCATCGTCTATAACTTTTAGCTGCTTTAATGGAAATGATTATGCAATTGGTAGGTGTTGCTCTCGATATGTTCGCTGTTAACAGATCCAAATCCAGATGACCCTTTGGTGCCAGAGATTGCACACATGTACAAAACCGACAGAGCCAAATACGAGGCTACTGCAAGAAACTGGACTCAGAAGTATGCCATGGGCTAAACAAAGATTCGTATGCTTCAGCACCTGTTTATGCTCTTATATCTGTTTGTTTCTTCTTCCTGTTTTAATTTTAATAAAAATGTCTAAAATATCTACTTTTTTCATCTATACGATATGTTTATGGGTTTTATTATCATCATCTTTATCTGAAATTTGAAGTATATTTACTAGTGAGTAATGAGAAACATTGTGTTATATCATTCATTTCATTTCTCTGTTATATCATTCATTTCATTTTTACATTTGGATTCACAACAAGTGTGGCGATTTCTCTGTTAAATCGGCCTATTGGTTGGCTGATCAGTCCAAATCTGCTGAGTTAAGGTTTGAAGCTTGTGTTCAGCTTTCCACTTTGGAATTAAAAAAGCTTGTGTGGAAAACTCAGACTGATCCAAAGATCAAGATCTTCCTTTGGAAAATTCCGAGTGGTGTGCTCCCTGTTGCTGAAAATCTCAATGCTAGAGGTATGCATGTCGATGTCACTTGCCAGGTCTGTGGGGAGTTGGGAGAGTCTACTAACCACATTTTATTCTTGTGCCCTCTTGCTCGTCAGATTTGGGCTCTCTCTGACTTCCTTGCTCCTTTGCAAGGTTTTCTTAATGGTTCCATTTTCTCCAATGTGTTCCATCTCCTGGAAAATAAGGATAATAAGGACTGGTCTGCAAACCTCAAAAAAAGTTTCCCTTGGATTTTGTGGAGAATCTGGACCAATAGAAATTCTCTAAATTTTGAAGGTCGCATTTTCTCTGCTTTAGAGGCTGTTGCAAAAATCAGAGAAGATGTTTTGGAATGGTTTGAAGCTCAGTTAGTGGAAAAAGAAGAGGAAGATGCTAGTGCTGGTTTGTCGTCTTCTGGTCAGCTTTGTGCCAATGTGTCTACAAAGACTTGGGCTAAACCGCCATGTGGTTGGCTTAAGTGTAATGTGGGTGCTATCTGGTCTAGGAGAAATCGGTGTGCTGGAGGAGCATGGGTTCTTAGAGATGACAAGGGTATGGTTCTGGTCCATAGCCGCAGATCCTTTGCAAATATTTCTTGTAAAAGTGACGCGATGCTGAGGTGCGTTCTCTGGGCTATGGAGAGTATGACGAGTCATGGAGTGGAAAAAATCATTTTCTCTTTTCAGGACAAGTCGCTGGTTGATGCTGTGAACAGACCAAAGGCTTGGCCAAATTTTAAAGCTCAATCGTTGGCTCTGAAAATGTCTCTTCGTTATTTTGTGGATTGGAAAGTTGAGGTTGAAGTTGCTGCAGCAAACAGAGGAGCAAACCTTATCGCTCAAAGTGTCACTGAAGACTCAAGAAGCCAATCCTATGTTGCTTCTGGACATCCATTCTGGCTTTCTCGTGTTTTTAGTGATGAGGAAGGTTTGTCCTCTGTTTGATTGTTAGTTGGTGTTTTGGTTTGATGCTTTAGGTTGGAGATCATTTTTTGTATGAATGAGTTTGATGGTCCTTGTTGGTACCTGGTGCTTTAGCCTTGCTTTGGTGCTCATTCTTTTGTTTAGGCCTCTCTTTATCAATATTGGGAGTTGGTGCTACTGTTGGTAGTGTACTCAGTGTCTCAGTCCTGTGTGTGACTGTCTCTTTGTAACCTTTATCGTTCCCTTTGTGGAAATCAATATATTCCCAGATCAAAAAAAAAAAAAATATCATTCATTTCATTTTTTTCTTTGTCAGGAATATTTCAATATACTAAAAGAGCATATTAAATAAACATTTTTCTTCTTTTGTCTAATATTTTTTTTAACCCTAAGAGCACGTCCATCAATGCATGAGACACTCATAATAAAAAAAATAAAAAATAAATAAAAAATAATATTTTAATCAAAAAAGCTGAGACACTTTGAGACAAGTATATCATTTGAGACACTTTGAAACACTCTCTCTCATACATATGTCACTCTTATATTGGTTTAACAATTCTTTTTTAAAATTCAATTACTCTAAGATTTATAATATCAATTAAATAGTTTATAAGTTACTATTTTTTATTTTTTATTTTTCTACAATTCATAAAATAAAATTATCTATATATCAAGTTCTATTATACAAAAGTTTAAACTATTTATTAATATAATTTTTAATTGATATTAGTTAAGTTTAAATTAATATTTTTAGTTAATAAAATACTATAATATTAGAAAATAAATCTGAGATGAATAATCTGATATTTTTTCAACATTTTGATATTTAGATAAATAATGTGTTATCTTTTGTCGTTATTTACAAAATGTCCAATATAATTAAAATCGATATGGCAAAAGTTTGGCGCATCATCAAGTGAAGAGTAAAACATATATTATCTATTTTGGTTTTGTATGTTTTTATTTGCATTTTAATTTATGTTATCATGGTTTTATATGTAATTTTGTGTTTAATTTATATATCTTTATTATGGTTTTATATGTTTTTTAAAATTCAATTTATGTTTATTTGTGTTTTTAAAAATAATAGTCTCTTTAATATATCTTATTATATAAAGTATGGTTTTCAAAGTTAATAACTCATATGATCGTGACACGTGGCAAATCTATTGATCTTAGATTTTGACACGTGTAAAACAAAAATTTCCTTTTTAAAATAAAAAAAGAAGATAATTGAAAGTAATTACAAATTTAAATAATTTTAAAAATGTAAAAGATAATTATAAGAATAATTGTAAATAATTCATATTTCTATAAACAAATTTAAAAAATGTCAAAAGATAATATTAAGGAAATTATACGTTTTTTATGTTTCAATTAAACAAGAAAAAAATCAGGCAATTTAATTTTTATTGATTGATCATAAAGTTATTGCAATCGAGTATATAGGAACCGAACCCGCAACGTTAGCTTGGAAGGCTAAAGAATTTAGTCGATTTATCATCTTTATATTTTTTACGTGTCTAATTAAACACCACTTTGGTTTTATTCACCAACTTTATGATGAATATTTTTAATTTTTGTTCTTCGTATAAGTATACCATGAATTATTGTTATGTGATATATCTTTCATTCGAAATAATTTTGAATTAATAATTTTAGTGGTTAAAGAAACAAGGCAACAGTGAAAAAGTAAATATTGTTTTTACTTTTGAAAGAAAATTTGTACTTACAACGTTGTTAATTAAATTTTTGTTAAATTTGATTTTAATTTTTTAAAAAAATAAACCCGTCCATCGGACGGGTCTTTATCTAGTTATTTATAATTAATAGTACTATTAATTAATGTTTTTAAAATTATTAATAATCATTATATTATTTACTTCTATAAAAATATAATTATTTTGTTTGAATGACTATATTTAAGATATAATTTGATATGTTTAAAAATATTATTGAAAAATTAAATTTAATATAAAAATATAAATATTATATTGATGAGGCACCCATAGAGATATCTCACCAATGGATGTAAAATTTTAGTATGAGTTTCTCTAAATAAATTAAGGGAGACTCACAAAAGTACCCCTTTTTCAATACCCCTTTTCAAAAATGCCCTTTTTCAATACTCCTTTTCAAAAATGCCCTCTTTGGCTGTCCATTTTTAAAAATACCCCTTTTTATGTACAAAATGACTAAATTACCCTTCTTTTAATAAAAGATTATTTGGAAGAAGGAAAGTCGGTATTAGATATGTATTTGGAGGATCCAAAGCTAGAGATGAGAAGCCATCCTAATCTGAATATTTTGCAGTATTGGAAAGACAATAGTCATCGTTTCGGCGCATTAACGTATATGGCAATGGACATTCTTAGTATACCCATAACCACTGTAGCTTCTGAATCTTCTTTTAGTATTGGATCTCATTTGATCAACAAATACCGGAGTCGACTTCTTCCCAGTAACGTCCAAGCGTTACTATGTACACGATCTTGGATACATGGTTACAAGGTTGATGATGAAGGTAAAAAATACTATTATGTATCAATCAATTTGCTTTACTTGGGTTAGTTTATACTACTAATATCTTCCCTTATGAATTGTAGATAGCAATGGCGAGATAGTTACTATTCGGTCGGATCCAATTTCTGTGGAAGAACAATCTGGTCTTTCTATCTAAATAGGTGTGCTCTTTCTTTCTAAATTAGTAAGTTATTTTGGACATTTGAGAATCATAGGTTACATTATGATTTAACAGTTTCTTCTTGCTTACATTATGAATCATAGGTTTAGTGAGTGGATGCTTTTTCAGATTCTGGTCATGTTCATATGTTCAATCAAACTCTACTTTTAAGCAATTTATAGTGTTGAACTTAATGAAAGGTGAAGACTTAATTTCTAGTTTTGAGAAGTTTCACTTTACTATAGTGTGTTCTGTGTGGTTTTACCCGTTTTATATAAAAACAAAGATTGAATCACATGTTTTCGATCTTCTTTACTCAGATCACTATGCTCCTCAGCTTGCAGAAGTAATTTACGACAGGAACAAGAAGACAAAAGACTCTCGCATTAATCTCAAGGTTTCATGGCACGTGCGCACTATGTAGTAGTAGTTAGGTTACTTGAAGCAACGTTTCTTGAGATATAAGTAAATGTGTCAATGACTCTCTTTCGTTTTATGCTTTATGTTCTTCGGTTTACAACATTAAATATTGTCTATCCACATTCTTCCGAGTCTCTTTCTTATTTTTATGATAATGATGATGATGATGATGATGATGATGATGATGATGATGATGATGATGATGATGATGATGATGATGATGATGATGATGATGATGATGATGATGATGAGATGATGATGATGATGATAATGATAATGAAATGATGATGGTATGATGATGGTGATGATTATAGTATCATAGTTAGTAATTATTAATTATGATAATTATTTAGATTATAGAAAAATTATCAAATGGATAAACTCATTTAATCCATGAATCCAACAATTCAAATGAGTTATGGTTTCATCCAAACCATTTACTAAATGAATTGGATTGACTCATTATCCATTAGACACTAAATTCATATGGATATGGATTAGATTGGTTTGGTTTAACCAACTTGACACCCCTACAAATATATAAGGAAATATAACAAAATTAGGTCCACAAAATACAAAATATTTTTTGGCGGGAAAAGTGATCCCGCAATTTTTCCCGCCAAAACACTTGTAAAAACTTGTAAAACCTTTAAAATACTTTGTAAAATTTTCCCGTAAAATTTTTTCCCGCCAAAAATTTTTTTTTGCGGGAAAAGTGATTCCACAATTTTTTTGGCGTTAAATTTTTGGCGGGATTAATTTACAAGGTATTTTAAAGGTTTTTTTAAAGGGTATTTATAAGGTTTTACAACGTATTTATAAGGTATTTATAAGATATTATAAGATTTTACAAGCTATTTTATAAGGTTTTACAAGTTCTAGGGTTTTACAAGTTTTTTATAAGGTTTTACAAGTTATAAATACCTTATAAAACTTTATAAGTACCTTGTAAAACCTTTTAAAATATATTGTAAAACCTTACAAAATACTTGTAAATACTCCGTAAAACCTTTAAAATACCTTGTAAATTTTTTCCGCCAAAAATTTTCCCGCCAAAAAAATTTCTCCAAGAAAATTGCGGAATCACTTTTCCCGCAGGAAAAATTTTTACGGGAAAATTTTACAAGGTATTTTAAAGGTTTTTACAAGTGTTTTGGCGGGAAAATTGCGGGATCACTTTTCCCGCCAAAAAATATTTTGTATTTTGTGGACCTAATTTTGTTTCAAATAAGGGTAAAATGGTCATTAAAAATTAAATGAGGGCAAACTTAAAAATAGACTCTCAAAGAGGACATTTTTGAAAAGAAGTATTGAAAAAGAGATATTTTTAACAATTTCTCCTAAATTAAACATAAAAATATTAATATTATATTGGTGAGACACTCTATAGATGTGTACCATTGGAGATGCTCTAAATTGCTTATGTAAAATGAAATCACTTTCTCGTTGACACACCGTCGTTACCTACGAGAAAAAAATAAAAGACCTTTTTACCAAAAGTGTTGTCTTTTGCCGACGAAATCACTGAAGCCAGCGGCGAAAGAACTGGTAAAACTACACAAACACTCTTCTGCAAGTGATCATTTTTCACAGTAGCTAAGTAAAAATTTGTAGTCTTTTAACCTCACTCACAGTTCATATATGTCGCATTTTGCAAACAAAAAAAAAAAAAAAAAAAACAGATCTTTAGGTTTTATTCATTTGGTGGGTTTATTGAATCACCTTCTCTACTAAAAAGCTTTCTCCTTTATTGTTGTCTTTCATGTCTTATTGTTGCTTATACTGTTACCTTCTGAAATTGAGCTTTAGGGTTTCTCATTTCACGAACATGGCTTTGTGTATTCCGATTGAAACCCATAATTTAGTTTGTTTCTATTTGAAGGTTTTGTGGTGTTCATGGATACAAGAAAGATTCCGTTGTTCTGTTTTTGGAATGGGTGTATTAAAGATGGTCCTGATGGTCCGTTCTATGAAGGGTCAAGTCCAAGAGGGATCAGAGTTGATAGCAAAATCGAACTATCCAGATTGTTGGATGATCTGCATCTACTTACTGGTTTTGAAAAGGGAAAGTTTCAGATTGATTTGATTGGTAGGTACCCTTCCATTGTTCAACAACAGATGGTCAAGTATGTGCGTTTGCCCATTGTGGATGATTGTAGTTTGGAGATGATGCTTGAGGTTCCAAGTTACCATCCATCTATCAGCAATCTGGAGTTTTATTTAGAGATCAAACCATTTTCTGATGAAGTTACTGTTCCTATTTCTCATCAGTCGCCATTGGAAAATAATGCGACCCGAAAGCGTTATCGGCAAGAGGATGCTAGTAGTGTCAATGCAGATGTAAATGTGAGTGTGAGAAACACTAAACTAAGAAGTCCGCCGGAGGATAACCATAATGGGTGGATTGAAGATGAAGAGAGTACGGATATCGGAAACTGTGGTGATAATGGGGTTGCACAGAAGGATTCGAAAATGAAAAATCCAACTCCAACGAAAGGCGTCAGCGATAGTGTCTCGAAGCAGTTGATTTTCTCTAGTCCATGGCTCGATGAAAGTGAATTACATGTTGGGATGATTTTTAGAGGTGAAGATGAGCTGGATAAAGCAGTGAACTTGTACTCTAATAGAAGGCAACGTGAATACAATGAATACAAAATTTTAAATAAATTTGTATGCAAGAGAAACTGCGGATGGGCTCTCAAGGCAACTAAAATGAATGGAAATGGCTTCAAGATAACAGAATACACAGGTCCACATACTTGTAAGCCAGCAGAGGTGGGCTCAGATTTCCTGGCAGGTGAGATCGAAGGTATAATAAAGGCTCAGCCCTCGGTCTCAATTGTAGAGCTGAACGCTTGGGTGAAAGAAGAATTTGGCTACACAGTCTCGCGTACTAATATGTGGCATGCTAAAAAGAAAGCGATAACTGGAATCTTGGGAGATTTGGACAAGAGTTTTAGCGTATTGCCCAAGTTCATGGCTGCCCTTAGCTCATCTAACAAGATGCTCTTGGAATGGCAATATGATCCTTTTCCTGATCCCAAAGATGCATCCTTTCGTTCAGTGTTTTGGGCGTTTCAGCAGTCAATTGAAGGATTTCCTCACTGCAGACCTGTCATCATAGTTGATACAGTTGACTTGAGCAGTAAATACCCTGGGAAACTGTTGGTTGCAGCGGGATTTGATGCTGAAAACAGGCTTTTCCCACTTGCGTTTGTGATTACTACCCAAGAAAGTTTGTCAGCTGATACTTGGCGTTGGTTCTTTTCATGCATCAGAAAGAAAGTAACTCGAAGGGAAGGCCTTTGTCTAATAACGAGTCCAAATCCTGGCGTAGTTGCAGTTGTTAAGGAACCTGAGTGTCAGTGGGCACAACACCGGTTCTGTCTTAGGCATATGTGCTTAAAATTTTATGATGTTTTCCATAACAATCTAATGACAGAGTTTGTTTACAAGGCTGGATCCACGAGGTACGTATCAACTTTTGTTTACTACTTGAAGAAAATCGAAAAGATGAACCCGAAGGCTCGAAAATGGTTAGACAAAATACCTCCACATCAATGGGCTCTGGCTTACGATGATGGCGGGCTGAGAGTCGGGATCCTGACAACAAATACAATATTTAGGACGTATGGTTTCCTAAACACAGCTCTTGATCTTCCAATCACAACCTGCATCTTGCTAATCTTTGATTACCTGGCAGAGGCTTTTAAAACTCTACGTGGTCTTTCTGAGGAATCACTGACTGGAAGAGATCTATACTCCAAATATATCATGAATTTTTTTGAAGAGTGTAAGGAAGCTTCTAGAACGCACGATGTATTGCCACTAGACCAGACAGGGGAGAAGTTTCAGGTCACGGAAGTGATGCAAGTTAGAAAAACAAGTTTTGTTGTTCATCTCAATGATCAGGTTTGCACTTGTGGAATATGGCAACTTTGCAAGCATCCATGTTCACACGTGTTAGCGGTTTGCAGGAGGCTGAACATTGATCATTTGCAGTATGTTGATGACTGTTATAGTACAGAAAGTTATCTTGCAGTTTACGCAGCTGATTTCAAACCGCTTCCGGGAGTCTCTGATTGGCCGGAAGCTTCTGAAGTTCCAAGATTGTTTCCTCCTGGAAGTCGTCCGATATCAACTCAGCCAAGCAAGGCTACCGGAGGCAAAAAGCGATCCAATACCGGTAAAAAGAAGGTAAGGTCTGAAATGTTGAATCGAACGGAACTAAATGTTGAAGATGGTTCGGGTTGTTAACTGATTTTACATCGATTTAGTTTGGTTTAGTTCAGTTTGAGTTTAAGGGAAACTATTTCTTGTTTTAATATGTACAAAGAAGCGGCTAGAGAAGTTGGTGGATGTTGAACCAACTAGTAACGATTTTTTGTTTGTAAGATATGCTAACCGGTTTAGTGTTGGTTTTTTGGGAGGTTGTATGAAAACCGGTTTGGTTTAAAATTCCTGTAATGTCTGGACATAGTAAGTTAACTTTTGTGTTGATGATGTTGTTATATTTGTATGCATAAGTATTTTGTTCGTTTTGTTTCAGTTTTCACGATATCTTTTTGTTTATGCCTAAACCGAGATAGGAAACCAATCTAGGCTGCCAGTACAATTCAATCGGTTATAAAGTACGAAGGTAACCGATTCTTTTAGACAGAGTAAAATAGAACTGTACAAAATGTTTGGGCATTAAGTGTAATAAAAAAAGTTTGGGCATTTTTTGATATTGGTTAGAAAATAGAGGGCTTTTTTAGGCATTTTAGCAAGAGAAAAACATTAGATATTTCGTTAACAACTGAATCATCGTCGTTGCCCAAGGATTAAACTTAAAGTCAGTGTTTTATTCTTCCCCGACGAATTCACCGGAACCGGCGGCGGAAGACGTTCGATTTCGGGTAAAAGATTCTTCTGCAAGTGAGCCATTTTCATCTTTACCCTCCCAATTCCTTCGATTCGACAATTTTGAAGAATTTAGGGTTTTTCCTTTTAGTGGGTTTCTCTTTTCGAAAGCTTTAATCTTTATGAAATTGTTCTTTAGGGTTTCTTATTCACTAAGAATCACTAACATTGTTTTTCTTATCCTCTCTCAGTTCCAAAGTTATCGCATTCCATAATTTTTCTTGTGTTAAAGATTAGGGTTTATCTTTCTCCTTTACTATAGTACTAGACTGTTATCGTTTTAGTGTTTCTCGTTTAGAATCAAGAACATGGCTTTGGTTGTTTCAAGTCAAAACCTTTGATTGATTTTTGTGTTTCTTTGCGTTTTCTCAGGGTTTCTGGTGCTCATGGATACAAGAAAGGTTACAGTGTTCTGTTATTGGAATGGTTGCATCAAAGATGGTTATGATGGTCCATTCTACGAAGGATCAAGTCCAAGAGTAATTAGAGTTGATAGCAAAATTGAACTATCCCAGTTGTTGGATGATCTGCATCTACTTACTGGTTTTGGAAAGGGAAAGTTTCAGATTGATTTGATTGGTAGATACCCTTCCATTGTTCAACAACAGATGGTCAAGTATGTGCGTTTGCCCATTGTGGATGATTGTAGTTTGGAGATACTGCTTGAGGTTCTAAGTCACTATCCTTCTATCAGTAATGTGGATTTGTATTTAGAGGTCAAACCGGTTTCTGATCAGGCGACCCGAAAGCGTTCTCGGCAAGAGGATACTAATGTTGATGGCAGTGTGAGAGATGACACATTAGGAACTCAGCAGAAGGTTAATAGTAATGGGTGGCTTGAAGATGAGGAGAATACGGATGACGGAGACTGTGGAATTGGTGTTGATGATGCAGCTGCACATAAGGATTCGCGGATGAAAAAGCCAGGTCCAACTAAAGGCCTCAGCGATAGTGTCTCAAAGCAAGTGATTTTCTCTAGTTCATGGCTCGATGAACGTGAGTTGCATGTTGGGATGATTTTTAGAGATAAAGATGAACTGGAGAAAGCAGTGGAGTTGTACTCAAATAGAAGACAACGTGAGTACATTGCGTATGAAGATAGGCTTGTATTCATGTGCAAAAAAAGGAAAATCTGCGGGTGGATTCTCAATGCAGCTGAAACGAAGAGCAGTGGCTTTGAGATAACAGAATATACAAATCCACATACTTGTAAGCCAGTAGATGTGGGCGCAGATTTTCTTGCAGGTGAGATTGAAGGTCTGATAAAGGCTCATCCCTCGCTCTCAATTACAGAGCTGAGCAAATGGGTGAAAAAAGAGTTTGGCTACACAGTCTCGGGTGATAATATGTGGAATGCTAAAAAGAAAGCGATCACTACAATCTTGGGAGATTTGGACAAGAGTTTTAGCGTATTGCCCATGTTTATGGCTGCTCTCTGCTCATCTAATAAGATAGTTTTAGATTGGCAATACGATGCTTTTCCTGATCCCAAGGATGCATCCTTTCGTTCTGTGTTTTTGGCGTTTCAGCAGTCAGTTGAAGGGTTTTCTCACTGCAGACCTCTCATTTTGGTGGATACGGTGGACTTGAGTGGTAAATACCCTGGGAAAATGTTGGTTGCAGCAGGATTAGATGCCGAAAACAGCCTTTTCCCACTTGCGTTTGCCATCACTACCCAAGAAAGTTTGTCAGCTGATACTTGGCGTTGGTTCTTTGCGTGCATCAGGAAGAAAGTAACGCAAAGGGAAGGCATTTGTCTCATAACAAGTCCAAATCCGGGCATTGTTGCAGTAGTTAACGAACCTGAGTTTCAGTGGGCGCAACACCGGTTCTGTCTTAGGCATCTGTGCTTCAAATTTTATGATGTTTTCAAAAACAATCTCATGACAGAGTTTGTTTACAAGGCTGGATCCACGAAGTACATATCAAGTTACGATGACTACTTGAAGAAAATTGAAGAGATGAACCCGGAGGCTCGGAAATGGTTAGACCAAATACCTCTGCATCAATGGGCTCTGGCTCATGATAGTGACAGGCTGAGATTCGGGATCATGACTACAAACTTAATCTTTGCGAATTACAGTTTCATAAACAAAGCTCGTGATCTTCCAATCACAGCATGCATCTTGCTAATCTTTGATCACCTGGCAGAGCTTTTCAAAACTCGACTTAATTTCATCGACGAATCACTGAAGAATAATAGAGAGATCTACGCTACACACGTCATGACAAAGCTTGAAGAGTACAAGTTAGCCTCTAGAACACACGATGTATTGCCATTAGACCAGACTCCAGAGAGGTTTCAGGTCACAAAAGTGATGCAACCTGCAAACAAGAAATTTTTTGTTCACTGCAGGGATCGGGTTTGCACGTGTCAGACATGGCAAGTTTACAAGTATCCGTGTTCACACGTGATAGCTGTTTGCAGGAGGCTGAACTTTGACCATTTGCAGTATGTAAATGACTTCTACAAGACAGAGAGTTTTCGAGGAGTTTACGCAGCTGTCTTTAATCCTCTTCCGGGAGTCTCTGATTGGCTAGAAGCTTCCGAAGTTCCAAGACCATTTCCTCCTGGAAGTCCTCCGAGATCAGCTGTCAAGCCAGTGACAACAGAGTCACCCCGCAACAACTCAGCTAAGGCAAGTGATGCGAACACGGGAGCGAGTGGACAAAGCGAAACTAGACGATCAGGGCGACCAAAGAAACCGAACAGTAAATATGGCATATAAGGCTTTTGAATGGTAGAAGATATGATATGCATCGAAGAGATAGCTATGTTTGTTTGCTTACTTATTTTACATTTGATTTTAGGGAAACTTAGAAGCGGAATTTGGTGGATGAACCAAGTTAGAAACGATTTTTGTTTGTAAAAGCGTCTGCTAACCGGGTTAATGTAGGTTTTTAGGAGGGTGTATAAAACCGGTTTGGTTCATGTAATGTTTGTGCAAAGTAGTTTTTACTTTTGGTGCGGTGATGTACTTTTGTATTTTGTTAATGCAAAAGTATTTGTTCGTTTCAGTTGTGTTTGTTTTCCTATGATTTGATTGAATCTAGCAAGTGCATATCTTGCTGATGTCAAAAAAACGAAGAAGCAAGTGCATGCATATCTTGGTCTAGTCCGGTTCAGTTCAATACCGGGTTACTTATCTTGATTTTCGAATGAATTGAAGAAATGATTTTTTTTTTAACCCTAACACTAAACTCAAAAAACACACAAAAGAAAGGTAATTTAAATTACCTTTGTAAACAAGTTACGATTTGTAAACAATAATGGAAGAGCCGACATAGCACTCAAGTACCGATTCGAACCACTGATGAGGAGAAAGCGTTGAGAGCTTTATATGAAAAGATCATTAAAGCAGAAACGAAATCTTAGCGTTTATGGACAAATCATTGGTATCTTCTTCAGATTAGGGTTTCTGTTTTAGAAAAGCTTTATCCGTTATTTCCATGGCGTACTAGTATAGTGTTCCTGGCTACTTTCATCTTATGAAATTGAATTTTAGGGTTCCGAAATCACGAACATTGCTTTGGCTCTATTCCCGCCTTAAAATATATATCATTGTTGTCTTTATACTCTGAGTTCCAAGTTATCCTTTTGCTGGGTTTATGTAAATCACCTTGTCTTTTCCAAAGCTCTCTCCTTTACAATTTGAAATTGAGTTTTAGGGTTTTAGAGTTGAAATTGGGTATTTTCAATCCAAACCCTTTATTAATTTTCGTGTTTCCTTGCAGTTTCTGTAGGAGCTCATGGATACAAGAAAGATTCCGGTGTTCTGTTATTGGAATGGTTGCATAAAAGACGGTCCTGATGGTCCATTTTACGAAGGCTCAGGTCCAAGAGTGATTAGAGTTGATAGCAAAATCCAACTATCCAGATTGTTGGATGATCTGCATCGAGTTACTGGATTCGAAAGGGGAAAGTTTCAGATTGATTTGATTGGTAGGTACCCTTCCATTGTTCAGCAACCGATGGTCAAGTATATGCGTTTACCCGTTGTTGATGATTGTAGCCTTGAGACCATGCTTGAGGTTCCAAGTTACCATCCTTGTATCAACAATGTGGAGTTGTTCTTAGAGGTCAATCCGGTTTCTGGTCCTGTTTCTCATCAGTCGCCATTTCCAAATAATGTTAGTTCTACCGCAAATCAGGCGCCCAAAAAGCATTCTCTGACAGAAGATGCTGATGTAAATGCGAGTGTGAGAGATAACACGTTAAGAACGCCGCAAGAGCACAACAATAACAACGGTTGGATCGAAGATGAGCAGAGGACGGATGCTGGCAACTGTGGAAATTGTGGTAACACTGAGGCTGTACTAGAGAATTCGAAATTGGAAAAGCAGTTGATTTTCTCTAGTTTATGGCTCGAGGAATGTGAGTTGCAGGTTGGGATGCGTTTTAGAGATAAAGATGAGCTGGAGAAAGCAGTGAAGTTGTACTCTAATAGAAGGCAACGTGAGTACATTGCGCACGAAATTTTATTTAAATTCGTATGCAAGAGATACTGCGGATGGGATCTCAAGGTAGCTAAAACGGAGAGCAATGGCTTTGAGATAATAGAACATACCGGTCCGCATAGCTGTAAGCCAGTAGATGTGAGCTCAGATTTTCTGGCTAGTGAGATCGAAGGTCTAATAAAAGCTCAGCCCTCGCTTTCAATTGCGGACCTGAACAATTGGGTGAGAGAAGAATTTGGCTACACTGTCTCCCATGCTAATATGTGGAATGCTAAAAATAAAGCGTTCACTGCAATCTCGGGAGACTTGAACAAGAGTTTTAGCTTATTGCCCAAGTTCATGGCTGCCCTTAGTTCATCTAATGAGATGCTCGTGGAATGGCAACATGATCATTTTCCTGCTACCAAAGGTGCCTCCTTTCATTCCGTGTTTTGGGCGTTTCAGCAGTCAATTGAAGGGTTTCCTTACTGCAGACCTCTTATTCTTGTGGATTCGGTAGACTTGAGCGGTAATTACCGTGGGAAAATGTTGGTTGCTGCAGGACTTGATGCCGAAAACATGCTTTTCCCACTTGCGTTTGCGATTATTACCGAAGAAAGTTTGTCAGCTGGTACTTGGCGTTGGTTCTTTAGGTGCATCAGAAAGAAAGTAACGCAAAGGGAAGGCATTTGTCTAATAACAAGTCCAAATCCGGACATTGTTGCAGTTGTTAACGAACCTGAGTGTCATTGGGCGCAACACCGGGTCTGTCTTAGGCATCTGTGCTGTAAATTTTATGAAGTTTTCCAAAACAACCTCATGACAGAGTATGTTTACAAGGCTGGATCCACGAGTTACAAATCAAGAGTTGATTACTACTTGAAGAAACTTGAAAAGATGAATCCCGAGGCTAGGAGATGGTTAGACAAATTGCCTCTGCATCAATGGACTCTGGCTCATGATGTTGGCGGGCTGAGATTCGGGGTCGTCTTGACTACAAACACAATCTTTAGGACTTATGATTTCATAAACAAAGCCCGTAATCTTCCAGTCACAACTTGTATCTTGCTAATCTTTGATCACCTGGCAGAGCTTTTTAAGTCGCGACATGGTCTTCTCGAGGAATCAATGAAAAACAGAAGAGAGGTCTACGCTAAACATGTCATGACAAAGCTTGAAGAGTACAAGGTAACTTGTAGAACACACGTTGTACTGCCATTAGACCAGTCTGGACAGAGGTTTCAGGTCACTGAAGTGATGGAAGTTGGAAAGAAGGAATTCTTTGTTCAGCGCAGCGATCGGGCTTGCACATGTGGGATATGGCAACTTTACAAATATCCGTGTTCGCACGTGATAGCGGTTTGCAGGAGGCTGAACATTGATCATTTGCAATATGTAAATGAATTCTACAATACAGAAAGTTTTCTTGGAGTTTATGCTGCTGCTTTTAATCCGCTTCCAGGAGTCTCCGATTGGCCAGGAAGTTCCAAAGTTCCAAGACTGTTTCCTCCTGGAAGTCGTGCTATATACATTAGTTCCCCGGCTCGTGACAACAGAGCCACCGCAAAACGGCTCTGCTTATAGCTAAGTAAGTTTTAGGGGATAATTCGGATTTATGAGAAGCGGCAAAAGAAGTTGTTGTTGGATCTTATCTTTAGCCTATTATTGGTCACACTCTTGTATCGTCTAACAACTGTTAGATATTCTTTCAGATTAAAGTCTTTCATAGTCAAGAGTAAAAAGGGTAATAATTAACGGAATTAATGAATATGGAAGACTTATATATACGTTGTTCTTCCATAGCACTTAGGATAAACACAGAGCAAAATCCCATGACTTGGGTCACAAGCTTCGATCTTTACCTTGACTAACGGTAAATAATCGAACGAGACTTTAGATCTATGATGACTGTTCTCAGAAGTGAGGACATAAGTTGAATAAACAGTTGAAAGAGAACCTTGGTATTGGACAAAATATTCAGGTTGATAAACGAATATTCCGACATTCGTTTACAGTAATCTTTGTTTAGAAATCTAATTTTTTCATGTCGTCGACGTCGGACAGCAAGAGAAAATTTCTAAGATTTTGTCTTGATTCATCGCAAGATACTTCATTTTGATGTTAGGGAAGTTAGTAAGATCCCATAACTTAATTATACTGAAATGAATAATATTTGTTTAGGGGTTATATTTGTTCTGACAATTTTTGCATGGCTTGTTTAGTTCTATAGATCTGTATATTTACACTTATTACATGCAATTTTCCTTATTTGTGATACACTATTTTAAATAAGGTCTAGCAGATATTCATTAAATAAGTAGTTATATAATAAGATTGAGAAGCACATTAAAGTTTAACCTTTATTTTGTAAATATATTAATAACCAAAAGGAAATCATATTGTTTTACATAGTTATTAAACTAAAACAAAGAAGAAATCTCTTAGAGAGTTGGGGATATGAAGAAAAGAGAGCTAAATAACAACATGATAACAACATGATCATATTCCTTCTTCTTCTCTATAGTCCCGTCTCTTGTTCCTCTCTCGCTCCTTTCTTTTCCTTCAACATCATTTTTATTGAAACAAACTCTCTCGTAGTTTGAATAGAAAGGGACAAAATATTTTCCGGCCGGCCAATGGCTAGGGTAGAAATCTTGCTTCGTATGCAAAAAACGATACTTGTTGTTACTCATGTTGTAGAGACTAAGCCTACCACTAGACGATCTTGATACAGTGTCGTTACTTGGGAACCATATAGGTTGTGAATTGTAGCAATCATCTTCTAACGCTGCGATTTTCATATCTTTCACTTTAACCCACGATGTTCCAAAACTCTTCTCCAAAACCCATATATTGGATCCTTTTCCACATCTTGATGAATGGATCACACCTAGCTTCCCTTCGTAGTTGACCAACATAACATTATAATAATCGCTTGTGACATCGTCTGGAACCGGAAAGATAGACCAAGTTTCGGTTCGCATACAGAACCGCATCACATTGTTCTTCTCTGTTAACCAATGCACGCAACCGTAGGCCGATACGGCCGGTTTAACTGGTCTATGAGAAAACTCTGATGATACTAAATGATTTAGTCGCTTCCATGCATCCGAATCAGAATCATAAACTTCACAAGAAAGATTATAGACACCATCTCTACTCACTGTTGCCCCTGTATCAGAAACCCTAATGATCTTGTACCGAAACGGGTTATACGAAATCACCATTAAACCGGTTGCAACAGTGCCAAACCTGGTCTTCGGGTTTGGTATGATTCGGTACTGTTTTGTAGCCGGTTTGCAAACGATGTAATCCGGTATCCTTTTCCTACCTTTATACACATCATCGACACAGAGCAAAATCCCATGATATGTATCACAAGCTTCGATGGATGGATTACAACGAGGAGGAAGATATGCAAGATTGATTCGGTATATTTCTTTCTCATCGACGCCGGAGACAAAACAGGAGTGATTCCTAAACCAGTGGTTATCTTTGTAATAAAAGATATAGCCGAGAAAAGAGTTGGTTCTATGGAGATGACGATTGAGAAAACTCATCTCATAACTTCGTTTGTTGCATTCTTTGTTTAGTAGACGAAATTTTGCCATCTCCGTTGCAGGACAATAAGACATGATCTCTAGCATCACATCGTCGTTCATGGGAGAATTCCTCATCATCGCCGGAGAAAAGTTTAAGAGAGGATTCTATATTTTGGTTCGATCAGATAGAAAAAGTTTCTCGTATCTGATAGGACTTGTAAAGAAAAGAGTTACCCTAATATGCTAAGGAAAAGGAGACTTAGGGTACAAGGTTTCCTTTTACAGTTTGCGATTTATATATTTTTACTAAGACAATGTTTCCTTTTTGGGTTTGATTTCCCTTTTTTTTGATGTTTTAAATTTCAATTTCCTTTTTTTTAACGACAAATCACTGCCTTTAATTAAGACTTAGTTTCTAACAGCAGTAAGTTTTGAATGAGTTTTAGATAATGGTCTTCTTCTAGTTTTGGTTTTTGTTAATGTAGATCTTTTTTTGACAAAAAATTGAATGATAATGTGCTTAGTTTTTCGGTTTTAAATTTAATTTTAAATTTAAAGTAAGTAAAATGAATATCTAAACATTTATTAATAATAATGATTATATTTTAATTAAATTAAAAGTCATAAAATATTTATAGGTATCTGATCACAGATGTCAATTTTTTTTTTTTTTTTTTTTTGAATTTCTGATGCACATATATATCCAATTTTGATTTATTAATATATTAATTTTATAGTATTTTCCGTTAATAAATGTAAAAAAATATATTTAAAGTAAGTAAAATGAATATCTAAACATTTATTAATAATAATGATTATATTTTAATTAAATTAAAAGTCATAAAATATTTATAGGTATCTGATCACAGATGTCAATTTTTTTTTTTTTTTTTTTTTTTGAATTTCTGATGCACATATATATCCAATTTTGATTTATTAATATATTAATTTTATAGTATTTTCCGTTAATAAATGTAAAAAAATATATTTAAAGTAAGTAAAATGAATATCTAAACATTTATTAATAATAATGATTATATTTTAATTAAATTAAAAGTCATAAAATATTTATAGGTATCTGATCACAGATGTCAATTTTTTTTTTTTTTTTTTTTTTTTTGAATTTCTGATGCACATATATATCCAATTTTGATTTATTAATATATTAATTTTATAGTATTTTCCGTTAATAAATGTAAAAAAATAGTCTATATGAAAAAAAGGAAATTTTAAAGGAAAATTTTCCAAATAATAGGGTTTTACATTTTCTTTAAAAATTGGATACGAAAATCAAAGACTAGAGAAACCTTTTAAAAAAATGATGAATAAATAATGACGATTGTTCAAAAACTATCCTAAAAACTACAAACATTCACTGCTGTAAATTTTTTAAAGAAACAAAACAAAATAGAATAAATGAATTGTAATCTCTTACAAAAAGCTGATGCATTTCTGTTTTGTACAAAAGAAAACTTTTACAACATTTGAATGTATACTCTTGAAAACAAAATCCCAAGAGAAGCTTCTAAAATTAACCACAAAAATGTATGCAAAGTTCTTTTCTGTGTTTTTTCATGTCTGAAAACTATGAACTCTGTTTTCATTGTTCAATACTGACCAAAAGCTATGAACTCTGTTTTCAATACTGACCAAAAGCTATGAACTCTGCTTTTTCATGGATCTTCTTCTTCTTGTCTGGTTTTTGATGAAAAGCTAAGTAAGCTCAGAGTCTGAAGCATGACCAGTATGTTGTCTACGTATTCCTGGGCTTAAAGGACTCATTGGACTCAAAGGCAATCGATTATCTTTCCTTGCTTTAATGCTTCTTCCAAATGGACTCAATGCTGATACTTTTGGCGATGATCTTGCTTTTACCGGTGAAGTTCCTGTTGATCTCAACTTTTCTGAGCCTGCATTGATAATTATATTAACATAAACATAGTTGTCTTTGTTCTCATCTATCAACCCAAATCATGGCAACATAGAGATTAGGGTATAATAATATACTAACCTAAGCTTGGACTTCTTCTGAGCTTTGCCATTTCGCCGCTTTTCTTTAAAGCTGAGACCTTTTTGATGGGAGCTTCTGAGTAGACTGATCTTGTATCTGAGTATTCAGATATTGTATCTAGACACAATGATTTTGTATCTCTTGCAATAATGGCATTAGGTGGATCTTCAACCACTGAAACGCTTTCAGATTGATCACTTGCTTCTGAGCTTTCTTTTGAGTTTGGATTCATCTTCTCTCTTTCCGAAACCCGGTATGAGTATAGTTGGAACGGGATTTGATTCACGGACGCGGTGTGAGACCCTGCATCTCCTGGAAACTTTCTCAAGAACCTTGCTTCTAAGTCCCAACAATCAACTAATGGAGTTTGCATTTGAGGATGACCATGATCTGGATTCACAACTAGGAACTTCTTGATGTAGCGAAGTATCCGACATATCGAAGAGAAGTTAGGACGCTGACTCGGTTCTGAGTGCCAACACCGTTTAATCAGACTAACGAGGTATTTTGGTGAAGGGAAAGGGAAAAGAGGTCTCTCTCCCATTCTAATGTTGATAGCCATTGGTTCACCTTGAAGATGACTATCTTCAAATGGAACTTTACCTGTTATAAGCTCAAAACACACCATTGCAAAGCTATACACATCAGCTTTATGCGTCAACTTTGATTTCGGAGTTTTACCATTCAGGTCTTGTTCCATCTCTGCTAGAACTTCAGGTGCATACCAGATTACAGGATCAGGAGTGCCTGGTTTCGAGGAAGACCGAGAAGACTGCGCTTTAACGACTGAAGACAAACCGAATCCCGATATTTTCGCGTGGAAATAACCTTCGGTGTGACTCCTCTCTTTCAAATGAATGTTCATGGGGTTTAAATCTCCATGGAAGATATCATTTCCATGAAGATATTCCATTCCCCTTGCAATTTGCAGCATGATATCGATCACGACGGGAATCGAGAACAGATATCTTCTTCTTGGTCCACAATTCTCCTTCATGTAGCTCTGCAAATCTTTGTGCATTAACTCCATAACCAAAAAGCATTCTTTCCTTTCTTCATCATAGAATCCACAAAGGTACTGAAGTATATTCGAATGACAAAGCGATAACAGAGAAGAAATTTCAGAACTTAGCGGCTCAAGATCGCTGAAAAAGTGCCTCACCGCAAAGCTATCACCTAACCATTGAATCTCCTTGTATTGTCCATCCGCATCTAACCGTCTTTTCACCAGGTAATCCTTTGAACCAAGAAGTATCGAACTCGGAAACAGTTTACCGTTAAACTGCTCCAAACCGGTTAACTTCTTCAACAGCAAATCCGCTAAACGCTTCTCGGTTTTACCAATATCATCGCTATCCGATTTCCGCTTTTCTTGTAATGCCTCCACTAGATTCCACCTATCTTCTCTCCAAGAATGCTCAAACCGGCTGCAAATATCCCGCGATACCAAATACTGTTTCCCAAACCTCCATTGAAACAGCTTAGGATCATTCCACTCTCTATCATACTTTCTTGAAAACACAACTCTCCTTCTCTCCATCTCAGAAGGGTCAAGACCCGAAATCTCACCAGCAGCCTCGATCGCTTCAACAACCGCAGAGAAATAACAGAACAAGTTGTGTATATGAAACTCAACACAATCTTTATTCTGATGAAGATTGATAACTTTACCCCACCAATCACTATTGTCCATACAATGCTTAACATATAACTCTCCTTCTTTAAACACTCTATAAAGCTCCCTTAAAGGTTGTTCAAGAGCTCTCCATTTAGTATGCTTCTCTTCAAGCTTTAGATTCTGTCTGATCTCTTCTGCGACCGTGTTGAAAGCTAAACTGAAGAGTTCTAACAACAAACAACATTGTCTTTGGTTGATCAAGATATCATCTTGTAATACCATTAGTGCATTAAGACTTCCAAGAACTTCGCCGATTTGTCTGAATTGCTCCATCAGACAATGTTGTTGTGAAAAATCCTCAAATCTTTTTATCTCTCAATAAAACCAACACAATAATTGTTCCACACGACTTGAGAGATTTATGAATGCTGGAAAAAAAAACAATCAAAATGAGACCAAAGAACAATAAGATATATATAGATCAAGAAGAAGCAACATTAGGGTTTTGAGGCCAAACCTGAAAGGAAGATTCTTTATGATTTAAGGAACGATCAATAATCGAGCATACAAAAGCATATCATACACGAACCGAAACAGAGCAAATATCCGACCTGATCATCCAAAAAACAATCTCAAATTGAAAAAATTGATAAAAAGAAAATCAACCTTTGAAAAATTGGTTACGTAGAATGTCTCTCACCGATCAATACAACAGATTCAGCTTTTACCAAAAAAAAAAAAATACAACAGATTCAAAAGAGAATTTGAAAGCAACTGAGGAATTCAGAAGAACAAGAAAAAAACAGAGTTGTGTTTTTGTCTTTTTCTTGGGTGCTAAGGAAATCCCTAAAGAGAAAAAGAAACTTGCAGGAAAATGATGGAAATGTTGAATTTTGGTTTGGTGTGATTTTGATCGTTGAAAACATGTCCGAGTTCTTTGGAGTCCAACAATATATAAAATACAATTTTTAATATTTGTTTATCGCATATAGTATCAATGTTATGGCCTTCACGTTGCACATCCCACAATGTTAGCCTGTTAGGTGGGATGATCAAATTTCAGCGCGAGTTAGATAAAATACTGTCTTGAACGAATTTGTTGCGAGTATCAGAAAACCGAAATCTCAGGCTCGGCCCGTTTATAAAGTTAAGAGCCCAATATCAGGCGTAAAATGTCAAGTTCGTAATTTCTTTCTGTGATAACTTCTCTTTTACTTATGAAACAGAAGCTGTTAAAATAGAAGCCACACGTTATTTCAATACATCCACTGACACACACAAAAAAAGGGTTAATTTAATCTAAATACATATAAGAGTAGTTTATTAGTTTTATAATATTGATAATTTAAATATTAAATAAGTAGGAAAGAGAAAATAAAAATAAACCATAAATATCATTCTCATTTAGTTTAATTACATAAATGTCATTGACATGATAAACTTTTTTTGACGTGCTAAAAAGTATGATATCACGATAAATTTACTTATTATGTGTTAAAATAAATATTTATCGATTTGAAATTATGAATCAATACTTTTTATTTATGTATATATCAAAACAATGAAAAAATTAGATTTTTTTTACATAATTAACATGATAACAATTATAACAACATGTTAAATAGAATAATAACATGCTAACATATTAAATATCCGAATAACAGTTGTATGAACACGGTAAAATAGTCGATATGTGGATAATATTTATATTAACATGTAACTTACACATAATATTCATTAATAATAATTGATAACGAAGTTAACGTGATAACAATGAAAATAACTAACAGTGAAATATAATATGTTTTGTTTTAGATCTGTTCACCGACGATATAGACGGAGAAGACGTTGTCGCTTATAAACCTTTTTAGCTCTCGCATCTTCTCCAACGCTATCACCATAAAATCCTTTAGCTTGCCGCATCTCTCCGACGCCATCTGAATCCACGATTCCATTCACGACACTTCTTTTTTTCCAAAACTCACCACCACCGATAATATAATCATCACCACTATCATCGTAAATATCATCTCCACCATTGTTAAGAATCCAATTTAAATAGAAATAAACACCACTTACAATCACCACCGCCCGACACATAATCGAAATAAGAATCACCACTACTGATTGTCTTTCTCCAACATAAAATCAAATTGACTATGTAATTTTTAAAACACACAGGTTTGTTCCAAAATTTTCATGATAATTTGAGAATCTCATTGATGGGAAAAAAAAAAGATAGAAGAGGAAGAAGACATGAAAGAATAGATGAAAGAGCAATATAAAGAAAAAATAGAGAGAAGGATAGTGATGTAACTTTATATGTTTTTGCACTGTGTAAATAGTGACCAAAAGTCTCAACTAATTATTGGGTCTTCCATGGTCACCGCTTGTAAATACTCAAAAAAAAAACAAAAAAAAACCTAAATTAAACATCCAAAATCATCATTCCCAAAAGCAGAATTTAATTCGATATTACTGTTATTGAATTTAAAACAAATAAAAGACCCGGTTTACTTTTCAAACCAAATTTACAAAATGTGGTATGTGGTTGAGAACAGAACCACTTTGACTGTCTGTGCTCATTTCACCGGAACATGGCAAAGCTTTAATGAGTCATGATGGGTCCTCGACGACTATAAAGAAACACGCTTCTGAAATTTGTCCCCTTCTATTTTGTATTTCTTCAATTTCTTCGAAATTTCTCTTCTCTTTACGCGTTTTTTTGCTTCACTACATAAACCAAAGGAGCTTGCTTTTCCAATCATACTTTCTCCAATACCATTCTAAAAATACTTTCTTCTACTTCAAGCATATGTGATCTTTCATGGCTTCTTCTTCTTCTTTGTCTTGCATCAAGAGACACCAAGTCTTTTCGAGCTTCCATGGTCCAGATGTCCGTAGAGGGTTTCTCAGTCATTTACACAATCACTTTGCAAGCAAAGGTATCACGACTTTCAATGATGAGAAGATCGATAGAGGCCAGACGATCGGACCTGAGCTCGTACAAGCTATTAGAGAATCTAGAGTCTCGGTTGTGTTGCTCTCGAAGAAGTACGCTTCTTCAAGCTGGTGTTTAGATGAGCTGCTTGAAATCTTGAAATGTAACGAAGCTCAAGGGCAGATTGTGATGACCATTTTTTACGACGTTGATCCGTCTGATGTTAAAAAACAGAGGGGAGAGTTCGGGAAAGCTTTCGAGAAGACTTGTGAAGGGAAAACTGAGGAGGTGAAGCAGAGATGGATCGAAGCTTTGGCACATGTCGCAACCATAGCTGGAGAACACTCTCTTAACTGGTATGTCTCAATGAATTTTAGTGCTTTTATGTTCCTCAAGAAAGTTTTTGTAAATTTCGACCCACCAACAGCATTTTGTTTTGCTTTTGCTAGGGCTAATGAAGCAGAGATGATCCAAAAGATTGCTACAGATGTTTTAAACAAACTTAATCTTACACCATCAAGGGATTTTGACGGGATGGTGGGACTTGAAGCTCACTTGGCAAAATTGAAATCTATGTTATGCTTGGAAAGTGATGAAGTCAAGATGATTGGGATTTGGGGTCCTGCAGGGATTGGTAAGTCCACCATTGCTAGAGCTTTAGACAACCAACTCTCTAGCAGTTTTCAACTTAAATGTTTTATGGGGAACCTCAAGGGAAGTCTTAAGAGCATAGTGGGTGTTGATGAGCATGATTCCAAGTTGTGGTTGCAAAACCAACTTATGTCTAAGATTTTGAACCAAGAGAATATGAAGATACATCATTTAGGTGCAATCAAAGAAAGGCTACACGATCAAAGAGTGCTCATCATTCTTGATGATGTAGATGATCTAAAGATATTAGAGGTTTTGGCTGAAGAACTTTCTTGGTTTGGTTTTGGAAGCCGGATCATCGTTACCACAGAAGATAAGAAGATTTTGAAGGCACATGGGATCAACGATATCTACCATGTGAATTTTCCATCCAAGGAAGACGCTCTTGAGATCTTATGTCTCTCTGCTTTCAAACAAAGCTCTGTACCAGATGGCTTTGAAGAGGTTGCCAAAAAAGTAGCAAACCTTTGCGGCAAGCTTCCATTAGGCCTTTGTGTTGTGGGTAAATCTTTGCGTGGGCAGAGGAAGCACGTGTGGGAACTTCAATTATCTAGGATCGAAGCTAGTCTTGATAGAAAAATTGAAGACATTTTAAGAATCGGATTCGACAGATTGTCGAAGAAAAATCAATCTCTATTCCTTCACATTGCATGCTTCTTCAACAATGAAGTCGCTGATGATGTGACAACCCTGCTTTCTGATAGTAACTTGGATGTTGGAAATGGGTTAGAGACCCTAGCTGATAAATCTCTCGTGCGTAAATCTACGTCTGGCCATATAGTGATGCACCATCTACTACAACAGTTGGGTAGACAGATAGTTCATGAACAGTCTGACGAGCCCGGGAAACGTCAATTTTTATTTGAGGCCGATGAGATTTGTGATGTACTGTCAACCGAAACAGTAAGTTTAAGTTCTTACATATATATTTTTAGTGATAACAATTTCATCAGTCATTGGCAATGTTATTTTGTAGGGTACTGGATCAGTCATAGGTATATCATTTGATACATCCAATATCGGAGAGGTTTCTGTAGGTAAAGGGGCTTTTGAAGGAATGCGTAATCTCCGATTCCTAAGAATCTATAGGAGTTTGCAAATACCAGAGGATATGCAGTATTTACCTCGTCTAAGGTTACTAGATTGGTATAATTACTCAAGAAAAAGTCTGCCTTTAAGATTTCAGCCGGAACGCCTCGTGAAACTCCATATGCCATTTAGCAATCTCGAGAAGCTCTGGGGAGGAATCCAGGTTTGGTATTCGATATTCTTTCTAGTGCTTCTAATGATTCAATTTAAATAAGAAATGTTTCTCATTTGTTGTGTTTAACATGCAGTCCCTTCCTAATCTCAAGAGCATAGATCTGAACCGATCCCGTAAATTGAAAGAAATCCCAAATCTTTCAAATGCTACTAATCTCGAGGAATTGACACTTGAGGGCTGCGGAAGTTTGGTGGAGCTTCCATCTTCTATTAAGAATTTACAAAAACTAAAGATTCTAAATGTTCAATGGTGCTCTATGCTACAAGTTATTCCCAGCAACATAAACTTAGCATCTCTTGAGAGAGTAGACATGATTGGTTGCTCACGGTTGACAACTTTTCCAGATATCTCCAGTAACATCGATGTTCTCAATCTCGGAGATACAGATATAGAAGATGTCCCTCCATCAGTTGCTGGATGTTTGTCTCGTCTTCATCACCTCAACATTTGCAGCAGAAGCCTCAAGAGATTGACACATGTACCACTCTTTATAACTGACCTATTTCTTGAAAACAGTGATATAGAGACGATTCCAGATTGCGTCATATGTCTCACTCGTTTAGTAAGGCTTCACGTCAAAAGGTGCACAAAACTCGAGTCAGTTCCGGGTCTTCCCCCCTCCCTCAAGGTCCTAGATGCAAACGATTGTGTATCACTCAAGAGAGTACGCTTCTCTTTCCATACCCCAACCAATGTACTCCAATTCAGCAACTGTTTGAAACTGGATGAAGAAGCAAGAAGAGTAATCATACAAAAATCAGTTGGCATATATAAATGGTTACCAGGTAAAAACATCCCTGCAGAGTTCACTCACAAAGCTACAGGGAGATCCATAACCATTCCTCTCGCTCCGGGTACTCTCTCTGCTTCCTCAAGGTTTAAGGCTTCCATTCTCATTTTCCCAGTCAAGAAAGGCAGATTTAGAACTATAAGTTGTAGTATAAGAAGCAAAGGAGGTGTTACAGTTCATAGCTGCGAGTTTAGACATCTGGATTTGTCTTTTCGGTCAAAACATCTGTTTATATTTCATGGTGATTTGTTTCCCCAAGGAAGCAAATGCCATGAAGTGGATGTGACCATGAGCGAGATTACATTTGAGTTCAACTGCGGGCGCGACGAGGACAAGATTATTGAGTGTGGTTTATTCGTAACCGGTTAAACTGCTCCAAACCGGTTAACTTCTTCAAAAGCAAATCTGCTAAACGTTTCTCGGTCTTTCCAATATCATCGCTATCCGATTTCCTCTTCTCTTGTAATGCCTTAACTCGATTCCATCTATCTTCTCTCCAAGAACGCTCAAACCGGCTGCAAATATCCCGCGATACCAAATACTGTTTCCCAAACCTCCATTGAAAAAGCTTAAGATCATTCCACTCTCTATCATACTTTCTTGAAAACACAACTCTCCTTCTCTCCATCTCCGAAGGGTCAAGACCCGAAATCTCACCGGCAGCCTCGATCGCTTCAACAACCGCAGAGAAATAACAGAACAAGTTGTGTATATGAAACTCAACACAATCTTTATTCTGATGAAGATTGATAACTTTGCCCCACCGATTCAATCACTATTATCCATACAATGCTTAACATATAACTCTCCTTCTTTAAAAACTCTATAAAGCTCTCTTAAAGGTTGTTCAAGAGCTCTCCATTTAGTATGCTTCTCTTCAAGCTTTAGATTCTGTCTGATCTCTTCTGCGACCGTGTTGAAAGCTAAACTGAAGAGTTCTAGCAACAAACAACATTGTCTTTGGTTGATCAAGATATCATCTTGTAATACCATTAGTGCATTTAGACTTCCAAGAACTTCGCCGATTTGTCTGAATTGCTCCATCAGACAAACAAACAATGTTGTTGTGAAAAATCCTCAAATCTTTTTATCTCTCAATAAAACCAACACAATAATTGTTCCACACGACTTGAGAGATTTATGAATGCTGGAAAAAAAAAACAATCAAAATGAGACCAAAGAACAATAAGATATATATAGATCAAGAAGAAGCAACATTAGGGTTTTGAGGCCAAACCTGAAAGGAAGATTCTTTATGATTTAAGGAACGATCAATAATCGAGCATACAAAAGCATATCATACACGAACCGAAACAGAGCAAATATCCGACCTGATCATCCAAAAAACAATCTCAAATTGAAAAAATTGATAAAAAGAAAATCAACCTTTGAAAAATTGGTTACGTAGAATGTCTCTCACCGATCAATACAACAGATTTAAATGAGAATTTGAAAGCAACTGAGGAATTCAGAAGACGAAGAAAAAAGAGTTTTATTTTTCCTCTGTCTTTTCTTCTTCTTGGTTGCTAAGAAAATTAAGAGAAAAAAAAAAGTTGCAGGAAAATGTTGAATTTTGGTTTGGTGTGATTTTGATCGTTGAAAACATTTTCCGAGTTCTTTGGAGTCCCATATATAAAATACACTTTTTAATAATTGTTAATCGCATATAGTATCAATGTTATGGCCTTCACGTTGCTTGCACATCCCACAATGTTAGGTGGGATGATAAAATTTTAGCGCGATTTAGATAAAATACTGTTTTGAACGGATTTGTTGCGAGTAGGGGTGTCAAAATGAGCTCGCAACTCATAAGCTGGTTCAGCTCAGCTCGATTTTTCATGAGCACGAGCTCTGTTTTTTAGGCTCATTTAATAAATGAGTTATGTGATCGAGCTTTTTTTAGATCGCGAGTTATATGAGCAAGCTTTAATGAACATGAGCTCGACTTTTTTTAGAAATATATATATATATATATATATATATATATATATATATATATCTTTTCCATATAAATTAAACAAAAATAGAATTATTCTTTTAAAAAATTTGTGTTTTTACATATTAATTTTAGAAGATAATTAAGTAATATAGAAATAATCCTTTAAAAAATTTATCTTAAACGTTTCCCAAAAAAATGAAAGGAATTATCATATTTAGATATTATCTAAAACGTTTACTTGTAGATGAAGACAATGAAGATGTTGATGTAGGATCATCTCAAGAGCAAGACTCTAACACGGAATAAATTCTTGATCATTCCATATTTCTATTATCTTTAATTAATTTAATTTAATTGTTAGGATTTATTATTTGAGATTTTTTTTGTTTGGCGTTTTGAGATTATTTTTTTCTCGGTTTATTTCCATTATTTAACTTTAGAATTAATTATGTTATTGGATTTATTTTAATTTTTTAAAAAAAATTTACAATATTTTTGTTATTATATTTATTTGTTATGAGCTAGCTCATTTAACTCGTGACCAAGATGATCTGAGTCCGAATTTATATATTGAAGCTCATCTAATAAATGAGCTGAGCTGAGTTAGCTCATAAAATGTCCGAGCTCATCATGAGCTGAACCGAGTTGAGCGAGCTAGCTTATTTTGACACCCTTAGTTGCGAGTATCGGGAAAACCGAAATCTCAGGCTCGGCCCGTTTATAAAGTTAAGGGCCCAATATCAGGCCCTAAAATGTCAAATTCGTAATTTCTTTGATAACTTCTCTTTTACTTATGAAACTGAGTGTCCTCCACACCAATGAAACATAAGCTGTTAAAATAGAAGCCACACGTTATTTCAATACATCCACTACACAAAAAAAAAAAAAAAACAGAAAAAACCTAAGTTAAATATCCAAAATCATCATTCCCAAAAGCAGAATTTAATTCGATATTACTGTTATTGAATTTAAAACAAATAAAAGACCCGGTTTACTTTTCAAACCAAATGTGGTATGTGGTTGAGCTCATTCGAAACTTCGTGATTCGTCGTCTCTACCATCTTGACTGTCGGATACTTATTATAACTCTGTGCTCTCTACCAACTTGACTGTCGGATACTTATTATAACTCTGTGCTCATTTCACATGGCAAAGCTTTAATGAGTGATTGTGGTCCTCGACGACTATAAAGAAACACGTACGCTTTTGAAATTTGTCCCCTTCTATTTTGTATTTCTTCAATTACATTCCAATTTCTTCGAAATTTCTCTTCTCTTTACGCGTTTTTTTGCTTCACTACAAAAACCAAAGGAGCTTTCCTTTGAAATTTGTCTATTTTGTATTTCTTCAGTACATTCCAATTTCTTCGAAATTTCTCTTCTCCTTTTACGCGTTTTTTTTGCTTCGATAAATAACCGAAGGATCTTGCTTTTCCAATCATACTTTCTCCAATACCATTCTAAAAATACTTTCTTCAAGTTCAAGCATTTGTGATCTCTCATGGCTTCTTCTTCTTCTTCCTCTGGCATCATGAGATACCATGTTTTCCCGAGCTTCCATGGCCCAGATGTTCGTAGAGGGTTTCTCAGTCATTTACACGATCACTTCGCAAGCAAAGGGATCACGACGTTTAAAGATCAGGAGATCGAGAGAGGCCACACGATTAAACCTGAGCTCGTACAAGCGATTAGAGAATCTCGAGTCTCGATCGTGCTGCTCTCGAAGAAGTACGCTTCTTCGAGCTGGTGTTTAGATGAACTTGTGGAAATCTTCAAGTGCAAAGAAGATCAGGGGCAGATCGTGATGACCATCTTCTATGACGTTGATCCGTCGAGTGTACGGAAACAGAAGGGAGATTTCGGAACCGCATTCATGAAGACTTGTGAAGGGAAAAGTGAGGAGACGAAGCAGAGTTGGAGCAATGCTTTGACTCATGCTGCAAACATAGAAGGAGAACATTCTCTTAATTGGTATCTTGTTTTTATCTTCTTCTTTTTTTTTTTTTTCTTTTTTTTTTTGTCTCTGAATGAATTAGTGCTTCAAATTTTTGTAATTTCGACCCACCAACATGATTTTGTTTTGCTTTTGTTAGGGCTAATGAAGCAGATATGATTAAAAAGATTGCTACCGATGTTTCAAACAAACTTAATCTTACACCGTCGAAGGATTTTGACGGGATGGTGGGACATGAAGCTCACTTGGCAAAATTGAACTCTTTGTTATGCTTGGAAAGTGATGAAGTCAAGATGATTGGGATTTGGGGTCCTGCAGGGATTGGTAAGTCCACCATTGCTAGAGCTTTAGACAACCAACTCTCTAGCAATTTTCAACTTAAATGTTTTATGGGGAACCTCAAGGGTAGTCTTAAGAGCAGAATGGGTGTTGATGACCATGATTCCAAGTTGTGGTTGCAAAACCAACTTCTGTCTAAGATTTTGAACCAAGAGAATATGAAAATACGTCATTTAGGTGCAATCAAAGAATGGCTACAATATCAAAGAGTGCTCATCATTCTTGATGATGTAGATGATCTAGAGCAATTAGAGGTATTGGCTAAAGAACCTTCTTGGTTTGGTTCTGGAAGCCGGATCATCGTTACCACAGAAGATAAGAAGATTTTGGAGGCACATGGGATCAACGATATCTACCATGTGGATTTTCCGTCCATGGAAGAAGCTCTTGAGATCTTATGTCTCTCTGCTTTCAAACAAAGCTCTGTACCAGATGGTTTTGAAGAGCTTGCCAATAAAGTAGCAAAGCTTTGCGGTAAGCTTCCATTAGGCCTTTGTGTCGTGGGTTCATCTTTGCGTGGGCAGAGCAAGCACGTGTGGGAACTTCAATTATCTAGAATTGATGGAAGTCTTGATGGAAAAGTTGAAGACATTTTGAAAGTGGGATATGACAGATTGTCGAAGAAAAATCAATCTCTATTCCTTCACATTGCATGCGTCTTCAACAATGAAGTCGTTGATAATGTGATATCTGTGCTTTCTGATAGTAACTTGGATGTTAGGAATGGGTTAGAGACCCTAGCCGATAAATCTCTCGTGCATAAATCTACCTATGACCATATAGTGATGCACCATCTACTACAACAATTGGGTAGACAGATAGTTCATGAACAGTCTGACGAGCCCGGGAAACGTCAATTTTTAACTGAGGCCGATGAGATTTGTGATGTACTGACAACCGAAACAGTAAGTTTAAGTTCTTACATGTATATTGCCTATTTTTAGTGATAACAATTTCATCAGTCATTGGCAATGTTATTTTGTAGGGTACTGGATCAGTCATAGGTATATCATTTGATACATCCAATATCGGAGAGGTTTCTGTAGGTAAAGGGGCTTTTGAAGGAATGCGTAATCTCCGATTCCTAAGAATCTTTAGGCGTTGGTTTGGCGGCGAAGGTACTTTGCAAATACCAGAAGATTTGGATTATTTACCTCTTCTTAGGTTACTACATTGGGAATTTTACCCAAGAACAAGTCTTCCTCGGAGGTTTCAGCCGGAACGTCTCATGGAACTCCATATGCCATACAGCAAAATTAAGAAGCTCTGGGGAGGAATCCAGGTTTGGTATTCGATATTCTTTCTAGTGCTTCTAATGATTCAATTTAAATAAGAAATATTTCTCATTTAACATGCAGTCCCTTCCTAATCTCAAGATCATAGATCTGATGTGTTCCCGTCAATTGAAAGAAATCCCAAATCTTTCAAAATCTACTAATCTCGAGAAATTGACACTTAAGGGCTGCAATCGTTTGGTGGAGCTTCCATCTTCTATTAAGAATCTACAAAAACTAAAGATTCTAGATGTTGGTTTTTGCTGTATGCTACAAGTTATTCCCAGCAACATCAACTTAGCATCTCTTAAGATACTCACCATGAATGGTTGCTCACGGTTGAGAACTTTTCCAGAAATCTCCAGTAACATCAAGGTTCTCAATCTCGGAGATACAGATATAGAAGATGTCCCTCCATCAGTTGCTGGATGTTTGTCTCGTCTTGATCGCCTCAACATTTGCAGCAGCAGCCTCAAGAGATTGACACATGTACCACTCTTTATAACTGACCTAATTCTTAATGGCAGTGATATAGAGACGATTCCAGATTGCGTCATATGTCTCACTCGTCTAGAATGGCTTTCTGTCAAAAGGTGCACAAAACTCGAGTCAATTCCGGGTCTTCCCCCCTCCCTCCGTGACCTAAGAGCAGACGATTGTGTATCACTCGAGAGAGTATGCTTCTCTTTCCATAACCCAACCGAGAGACTCAGTTTCAGAAACTGTTTTAAACTGGATAAAGAATCGAGAAGAGGAATCATACAAAAATCAATTTACGATTGTGTATGCTTACCAGGTAAAAAAATCCCTGCAGAGTTCACTCACAAAGCAACAGGGAGATCCATAACCATCCCTCTGGCTCCGGGTACTCTCTCTGCTTCCTCAAGGTTTAAGGCTTGCCTTCTCATTTCCCCAGTTAAAGACTACGGATATAAACGTATAAGCTGTAGTATAAGAAGCAAAGGAGGTGTTACAGTTCATAGATGCGAGTGTCCACATCTGTCTTTGTCTTTTCGGTCAGAACATCTGTTTATATTTCATGATGATTTGTTTCCCCAAGGAAACAAATGCCATGAAGCCGATGTGACCATGAGCGAGATTATATTTGAGTTCAGCTGCGATTTCGGCGATGACAAGATTATTGAGTGTGGTGTACAGATCATGAGAGAGGAAGTTGAGGGTAGCAACATCAGGGAATTGGACAGCCATGAAACTGAGAGTAGTAGCAGCGAAGTGGACAGCCATGAAACTGAGAGTGGCAGCAACTGTTTGAAACTGGATAAAGAATCAAGAAGAGGAATCATACAACAATCAGTTGGCATGTATAAATGGTTACCAGGTAAAAACATCCCTGCAGATTTCACTCACAAAGCAACAGGGAGATCCATAACCATCCCTCTGGCTCCGGGTACTCTCTCTGCTTCCTCAAGGTTTAAGGCTTCCATTCTCATTTTGCCAGTTGAGTACGCCGGATTAAGAACTATAAGTTGTAGTATCAGAAGCAAAGGAGGTGTTACAGTTCATAGCTACGAGTTTGAATATCTGTCTTTGTCTTTTCGGTCAAAACATCTGTTTATATTTCATGGCGATTTGTTTCCCCAAGGAAACAAATGCCATGAAGTGGATGTGACCATGAGCGAGATTATATTTGAGTTCAGCTTCAATGTCGGCAATGCCAAGATTAGTGAGTGTGGTGTACAGATCATGACAGAGGAAGCTGAGGGTAGCAGCATCAGGGAGTTGGACAACTATGAAACTGAGAGTAGCAGCAGCGAAGTGGACAGCCATGAAACTGAGAGTAGCAGCAGCGAAGATGGAAATGGAGATGAAAACATCAAAACCAGTAAACAAATAGGTTTTAGGAGTTGGCTTCAGAATTTTTTTGGTCTAAAAGAGAAGAAGATGAATACGACAGAGTGGAGTTCTGACAAAGGGGACATCTGTGAAACTGAGAGTAGCAGCAGCAAAGTGGATTATTAGGAAACTGGAGGTGACGATAATCACCTCACAGATGGATATGAAGTTGGAGATGGAGATGGAGACTATGACGCAGAAGGTTTCAAGTTCTCTGAAATTGAAAACATCTAATCAAGTAACCCGAAACTCGTGACAGTGCCGGCTCTTCCCCTGTAGCTCAAGTCCTTAAATGCAAACGAATGTGTATAAGGAGGTATGGAGATTAATTGGGATTTACAAAAAAATCTGTTTGTCTTGCAAAACCTTTGTGAGTTTGTGAATTTGAATGAGTCACACCTCTTGTCTATAAGCTTAGTATATGACTGAATGAGTTACACCTCTTTTTCTTTAATGAGTGAATGAGTGATACCTCTTGGCAAATCTGTTAAGTATAGACCTCTTGTCTTTAAGCTTTGTTATTGTGGATATGGTAACACGCTAATACTCTTAGAGTAGAGAAATTAGTAGGAGATTAATTGGGATTTACAGAATCCATGAGCAAAAATCTGTTTTGTTTTGCAAAACCTTTGTGAGTGTGATTAGTAGTAGACAAAGCATATCCCAATATTGTCGCTACACTAGGTTCTGTACGACAGTATGAGTTATACCGTTTTGGTTTAATAGACAAAGCCTTGTATTTATTTCTTAATTAGCTGTTTAAGTACTAAGAAAAGTCTTGTTATTTTGTGATCTAGTTAGTTAGCTGTTTAAGTACTAAGAGAAGTTTTGTTATCTTGTCAACGCATTCGAGAAAACTTGTGAAGGACATGAAGCAAAGCTTTGACTGATGAGCAAACATAATTGTGTACATTTCTGATTATCCAAATGACCAAATCTGTAGAGAGACTGGAATATCTGATCCCCTAGCTCCAATTTTCTTAATTCTTCACAGAGAGTTGCTTTCATTGTTCTGCTACATAGGCTTATTCAGAACAATTGCAAACTCTGTGATAACTTTTTCAACATCTCTTTTACTATGAAACTAATAGTAGCAGCAACCAAACCAAACCAATAATAAACAGCAAATCTTAACGAAATCAAACCTTATGGATGGATGGGGTCCTCACCGACTTTGGGGGAAACATTTTGTTTTTGTATTTTTCTATACAAGGAGGACAAAGTCCTTTGAAATATCAGTTCCGTAGATAGCTTATCCAAAACAGTTGTGATACCTTCATCGTCCATATCAAAGCTTACCATATCTTTCATGGCTTCTTCTCCTTCTTCGTCTTGCTCGCATCAAGAGATGGTGATGCACCCAATTTGGCATCACTATCTCTACTCCATTAAAAATTGACGTTTATTGGCATCTCCGTATCTCGGATAACTCCAACCAACCAATTTGGAAACCCGAAATATGGAAATGCCAATAAACCCGAATTTGATCCGTTTTAAACTAATAGTAGCAGCAACCAACCAAACCAACAATAAACAGCAAATCTTTACGAAATATGGAAATGCCAATAAACACCATTTTCTTAATAGAAACTGAAGACATTCTCAATGTACTAGGAAACGGAACAGTAAGTTTTTACATATATCTTACTGAATTTTGATATGTCCAAGACCAAGTAGTAGTTGGTTTAATTTAGTAGGCGAGCCTTTGAAGAGAAATCATACACCATTTGAAAGCCAAATATGTCTGCTTACCCGGAAAAGAACTCTCTGTGGAGTACACTCACAAAGCGAGATTCTGTTCGAATTCACTTGCTCAGATAACAACAAGATTATTGAGTGTGGTATACAGATCTTGAAAGAAGGATATGATGAATATTTGGACTGTGAACCTGAAGCCGTAGGCAACATTGGCTACCAAAATGTTGAGAATGTGGATAACGCTAAACACACAGGTTGTTGGTCTAAGAAAAAGAAGACAAAAAGCTCCACCGTGAAACATCACTTTATTTTTCACACTAAGTTGTCCCAGAAACACAGAAGAATCAAATGCGATTGAGGATGGAGCCGCTCGGATCTCTAAAGATGAAAATGTCACAAGCAGTAAATATGTCAGATCATTGAGTGCAGTGCATGGATTTGATGGATAAAACTCAGAGTAGCAGCAACGAAAAGTCTTAAAAAGAACGTAGCATCCACAAATGCAGAAAACTCTGTGTCACATATCGATCTTTTGGAGTCCGTTGAGTGTCGAAAATGTAAGCAAAGTGTGAATCATTGAAGAGATTCTATTGTTATTCCTGCAACTGTGTGAAACTAGACGAATCAAGAAGAGTAATCCCGCATGTCTTTAATCAGATGTGTCAACTCGTTCTCTATCAGAACATCTGTTTTTATAATTTGGTGGTGACTTGTATCATCAACAAAGCATAAATATTTAACGAAGTGGATGTGACCATGAGCAAGGTTCTGTTCGAGTTCACTTACTGGGACAATGAGAACAAGACTATTGAATGCAAGCAGCACCATTGCATTAGGGTTAGTTATTGTCTTGTGTATATTTTCTTTCCAGGTAAGTAAGAAACTACTGTTGTATTCAATAGATGGCTTATTCAGAACCATTGTAACTCTGTGATAACTTCTCTTTTACTAAGAAACTGAGTGTAGACGTAGTAGCAAAGAACAGAAGCTGAGACCATAGAACATTAAGATATATATAGATCAAGAAGAAGCAACATAGGGTTTTGAGGCCAAACCTGAAATGAAGATCCTTTATGATTTAAGGATCGATCAATCGAGCATACAAAAGCCTATCATACAAAAACCAAAACAGAGTAAATCTCCGACCTGATCATCCAAATAAACAATCTCAAATTGAAAAAATTGATGAAGACAAAATCAACCGTTGAAAAATTGGTTATGTAGAGTGTCTCTCACCGATCAATACAACAGATTCAAAAGAGAATTTGAAAGCAACTGAGGATCAGAAGAAGAAGAAGAAAAAACGGAGTTGTGTTTTTCCCCTGTTTTTGTGTTCTTCTTGGTTGCTAAGAAAATCTCTAATTTCTTTTTTTGTTTCTAACCAGAAAACCTAACCAGAAAACCAATTTTGATCGAATTGAAAAGGCCGGTTTAGTTTTTCAAACCAAATTTACAATTGGATATCGAGAGTTTTAAGATCCCTAATTTTGAATCATGTCTGGTTCTTTCTTCTTCCTCCGATCATCTTCTCACCGAGTCTCATGCTTCAGCTCTGAGCTCATCTCTACGAAATAAAATTCCGATTGCCAAAAATTCAAAACCTTATGAGGTTCTCAAGACCATGAGGAAACACTCTTATGGGTCATCGACGACTTTGAGGGAAACATTTTTTGTATTTTTCTCTACAGAGAGACAAATCCCTTTGAAATTTCAATCCTCTCGTTACGCGTTTTCTTCAATTATATAAGCGAGAGACTTGTTTTCTACTCCATAGATTGCTTATCCAAAACCATTGTGGTACCTTCTTCTTCAATCTCAAAATTTACCAATCTGTTTCATGGCTTCTTTTTCTTCGTCTCGTATGAAGAGATTCCATGTCTTTTCGAGCTTTCACGGTCCAGATTTCCGTAGAGGGTTTCTCAGTCATTTACACTGTCATTTCGCAAGCAAAAGGAATCACAACTTTCAATGATCAGGAGATCAAGAGAGGCCACACGATTGGACCTGAGCTCGTACAAGCGATTAGAGAATCTAGAGTCTCGATTGTGGTGCTCTCGAAGAAGGTACGCTTCTTCCAGCTGGTGTTTAGATGAATTGGTTGAAATCTTGAAGTGCGAAGAAGCAGTCTCAAGGGCAGATTGTGATGACCATTTTTTACGACGTTGATCCGTCCGATGTACGGAAACAGGAGGGAAATTTCAGGAGCGCTTTCGAGAAGACTTGTCAAGGGAAAACTGAGGAGGTGAAGCTCAGATTGCCGGGGAACACTCTCTTAATTGGTATGTAAATCGTCTCTTAATGAACTTAATTATCTTTTGGAAATGCTTCACTTTAAGGAAATTTAGACTCCTTAACATGATTTTGTTTGCATGTGTTAGGGCTAATGAAGCAGAAATGATTGAAAAGATTGCTATTGATGTTTCAAACAGACTGAATGCTAGACCGTCTAGGGATTTTAAGGGTATGGTAGGAATTGAAGCTCACTTGAATAAACTGGACTCTTTGTTATGCCTTGGATGCGATGACGTGAAGATGATTGTAATTTGGGGTCCTGCGGGAATTTGTAAGACTACCATTGCTAGAGCTCTATATAACCAAATTTGTAGCGAGTTTCCACTTAGTTGTTTTATGGGGAACCTCAAAGGAAGTTATAAGAGCATAATGGGTGTTGATGACTATGATTCCATGTTGTGTTTACAAAACCAACTTCTGTCCAAGATTTTCAACAAAAGGGATATGAGGATAAATAATTTAGATGCAATCAAGGAATGGCTACAAGATTCATGAGTGCTTATCATTCTTGATGATGTAGACAATCTACAGCAATTTGAGGCCTTGGCAGCTTTCTTTGTTTGGTTCTGGAAGTCGGATTATCATTACCACTGAAGATAGAAGGATTCTAAAGGCACATGAGTTTATGATATCTACCCTGTTGGTTTTCTTTCCAAAGAGAAAAATCAACCGTTAAAAAATTGGTTATGTAGAATGTCTCTCACCGATCAATAAAACAGATTCAAAAGAGAAATAAAAAGCAACTGAGAAATTCAGAAGAAGAAGAAGAAAAAAGAGTTTTATTTTTCCCCTGTTTTTTCTTCTTCTTGGTTGCTAAGATAATTAAGAGAAAAACAAAAAGTTGCAGGAAAATGTTGAATTTTGGTTTGGTGTGATTTTGATCGTTGAAAACATTTTCCGAGTTCTTCGGAGTCCCATATATAAAATACACTTTTTAATAACTGTTAATCGCATATAGTATCAATGTTATGGCCTTCACGTTGCTTGCACATCCCACAATGTTAGGTGGGATGATAAAATTTTAGCGCGATTTAGATAAAATACTGTTTTGAACGGATTTGTTGCGAGTAGGGGTGTCAAAATGAGCTTGCAACTCATAAGCTGGTTCAGCTCAGCTCGATTTTTCATGAGCACGAGCTCTGTTTTTTAGACTCATTTAATAAATGAGTTATGTGATCGAGCTTTTTTTAGATCGCGAGTTATATGAGCGAGATTTAATGAACATGAGCTCGACTTTTTTTAGATATATATATATATATATATATATATATATATTTATATATATCTTTTCCATTTAAATTAAACAAAAATAGAATTATTCTTTTAGAAAATTTGTGTCTTTTTACATATTAATTTTAGAAGATAATTAAGTAATATAGAAATAATCCTTTAAAAAATTTATCTTAAACGTTTCCCAAAAAAAAGAAAGGAATTATCCTATTTAGATATTATCTAAAACGTTTACTTGTAGATGAAGACAATGAAGATGTTGATGTAGGATCATCTCAAGAGCAAGACTCTAACACGGAATAAATTCTTGATCATTCCATAATTCTATTATCTTTAATTAATTTAATTTAATTGTTAGGATTTATTATTTGAGATTTTTTTTTGTTTGGCGTTTTGAAATTATTTTTTTCTTGGATTTATTTCCATTATTTAACTTCAGAATTAATTATGTTATTAAATTTATTTTAATTTTTTTTTTTTAAAATTACAATATTTTTGTTATTATATTTATTTGTTATGAGCTAGCTCCTTTAACTCGTGACCAAGATGATCTGAGTCCGAGTTTATATATTGAAGCTCATCTAATAAATGAGCTGAGCTGAGTTAGCTCATAAAATATCCGAGCTCATCATGAACTGAACCGAGTTGAGCGAGCTAGCTTATTTTGACACCCCTAGTTACGAGTATCGGAAAACCGAAATCTCAGGCTCAGCCCGTTTATAAAGTTAAGGGCCCAATATCATGTCCTAAAATGTCAAATTCGTAATTTCTTTGATAACTTCTCTTTTACTTATGAAACTGAGTGTCCTCCACACCAATGAGACAGAAGCTATTAAAATAGAAGCCACACGTTATTTCAATACATCCACTACACACAAAAAAAAAAAAAAAAACAGAAAAAACCTAAATTAATCATCCAAAATCATCATTCCCAAAAGCAGAATTTAATTCGATATTACTGTTATTGAATTTAAAACAAATAAAAGACCCGGTTTACTTTTCAAACCAAATTTACAAAATGTGGTATGTGGTTGAGCTCATTCGAAACTTCGTGATTCGTCGTCTCTACCAACTTGACTGTCGGATACTTGTTACTCCTCCGTATTTTAATAAGTGTCGTTTTAGAATTTTTATTTTTTTGAATTGGATGTCGTTTTCAAATTTCTATGCAAATTTTTTTACTTTTTAATGTTTTATGATATCATAAAACATTAAAAAGTAAAAAATTTTGCATAGAAATTTGAAAACGACAACTAATATAAAGGAAGATTCTTTATGATTTAAGGAACGATCAATAATCGAGCATACAAAAGCATATCATACACGAACCGAAACAGAGCAAATATCCGACCTGATCATCCAAAAAACAATCTCAAATTGATAAAATTGATAAAAAGAAAATCAACCTTTGAAAAATTGGTTACGTAGAATGTCTCTCACCGATCAATACAACAGATTTAAATGAGAATTTGAAAGCAACTGAGGAATTCAGAAGACGAAGAAAAAAGAGTTTTATTTTTCCTCTGTTTTTTCTTCTTCTTGGTTGCTAAGAAAATTAAGAGAAAAAAAAAAGTTGCAGGAAAATGTTGAATTTTGGTTTGGTGTGATTTTGATCGTTGAAAACATTTTCCGAGTTCTTTGGAGTCCCATATATAAAATACACTTTTTAATAATTGTTAATCGCATATAGTATCAATGTTATGGCCTTCACGTTGCTTGCACATCCCACAATGTTAGGTGGGATGATAAAATTTTAGCGCGATTTAGATAAAATACTGTTTTGAACGGATTTGTTGCGAGTAGGGGTGTCAAAATGAGCTCGCAACTCATAAGCTGGTTCAGCTCAGCTCGATTTTTCATGAACACGAGCTCTGTTTTTTAGGCTCATTTAATAAATGAGTTATGTGATCGAGCTTTTTTTAGATCGCGAGTTATATGAGCGAGCTTTAATGAACATGAGCTTGACTTTTTTTAGAAATATATATATATATATATATATATATCTTTTCCATATAAATTAAACAAAAATAGAATTATTCTTTTAGAAAATTTGTGTTTTTACATATTAATTTTAGAAGATAATTAAGTAATATAGAAATAATCCTTTAAAAAATTTATCTTAAACGTTTCCCAAAAAAATGAAAGGAATTATCATATTTAGATATTATCTAAAACGTTTACTTGTAGATGAAGACAATGAAGATGTTGATGTAGGATCATCTCAAGAGCAAGACTCTAACACGGAATAAATTCTTGATCATTCCATATTTCTATTATCTTTAATTAATTTAATTTAATTGTTAGGATTTATTATTTGAGATTTTTTTTGTTTGGCGTTTTGAGATTATTTTTTTCTTGGTTTATTTCCATTATTTAACTTTAGAATTAATTATGTTATTGGATTTATTTTAATTTTTTTAAAAAAATTTACAATATTTTTGTTATTATATTTATTTGTTATGAGCTAGCTCATTTAACTCGTGACCAAGATGATCTGAGTCCGAATTTATATATTGAAGCTCATCTAATAAATGAGCTGAGCTGAGTTAGCTCATAAAATGTCCGAGCTCATCATGAGCTGAACCGAGTTGAGCGAGCTAGCTTATTTTGACACTCTTAGTTGCGAGTATCGGGAAAACCGAAATCTCAGGCTCAGCCCGTTTATAAAGTTAAGGGCCCAATATCAGGCCCTAAAATGTCAAATTCGTAATTTCTTTGATAACTTCTCTTTTACTTATGAAACTGAGTGTCCTCCACACCAATGAAACATAAGCTGTTAAAATAGAAGCCACACGTTATTTCAATACATCCACTACACAAAAAAAAAAAAAAAACAGAAAAAACCTAAGTTAAATATCCAAAATCATCATTCCCAAAAGCAGAATTTAATTCGATATTACTGTTATTGAATTTAAAACAAATAAAAGACCCGGTTTACTTTTCAAACCAAATGTGGTATGTGGTTGAGCTCATTCGAAACTTCGTGATTCGTCGTCTCTACCATCTTGACTGTCGGATACTTATTATAACTCTGTGCTCTCTACCAACTTGACTGTCGGATACTTATTATAACTCTGTGCTCATTTCACATGGCAAAGCTTTAATGAGTGATTGTGGTCCTCGACGACTATAAAGAAACACGTACGCTTTTGAAATTTGTCCCCTTCTATTTTGTATTTCTTCAATTACATTCCAATTTCTTCGAAATTTCTCTTCTCTTTACGCGTTTTTTTGCTTCACTACAAAAACCAAAGGAGCTTTCCTTTGAAATTTGTCTATTTTGTATTTCTTCAGTACATTCCAATTTCTTCGAAATTTCTCTTCTCCTTTTACGCGTTTTTTTTGCTTCGATAAATAACCGAAGGATCTTGCTTTTCCAATCATACTTTCTCCAATACCATTCTAAAAATACTTTCTTCAAGTTCAAGCATTTGTGATCTCTCATGGCTTCTTCTTCTTCTTCCTCTGGCATCATGAGATACCATGTTTTCCCGAGCTTCCATGGCCCAGATGTTCGTAGAGGGTTTCTCAGTCATTTACACGATCACTTCGCAAGCAAAGGGATCACGACGTTTAAAGATCAGGAGATCGAGAGAGGCCACACGATTAAACCTGAGCTCGTACAAGCGATTAGAGAATCTCGAGTCTCGATCGTGCTGCTCTCGAAGAAGTACGCTTCTTCGAGCTGGTGTTTAGATGAACTTGTGGAAATCTTCAAGTGCAAAGAAGATCAGGGGCAGATCGTGATGACCATCTTCTATGACGTTGATCCGTCGAGTGTACGGAAACAGAAGGGAGATTTCGGAACCGCATTCATGAAGACTTGTGAAGGGAAAAGTGAGGAGACGAAGCAGAGTTGGAGCAATGCTTTGACTCATGCTGCAAACATAGAAGGAGAACATTCTCTTAATTGGTATCTTGTTTTTATCTTCTTCTTTTTTTTTTTTTCTTTTTTTTTTTGTCTCTGAATGAATTAGTGCTTCAAATTTTTGTAATTTCGACCCACCAACATGATTTTGTTTTGCTTTTGTTAGGGCTAATGAAGCAGATATGATTAAAAAGATTGCTACCGATGTTTCAAACAAACTTAATCTTACACCGTCGAAGGATTTTGACGGGATGGTGGGACATGAAGCTCACTTGGCAAAATTGAACTCTTTGTTATGCTTGGAAAGTGATGAAGTCAAGATGATTGGGATTTGGGGTCCTGCAGGGATTGGTAAGTCCACCATTGCTAGAGCTTTAGACAACCAACTCTCTAGCAATTTTCAACTTAAATGTTTTATGGGGAACCTCAAGGGTAGTCTTAAGAGCAGAATGGGTGTTGATGACCATGATTCCAAGTTGTGGTTGCAAAACCAACTTTTGTCTAAGATTTTTAACCAAGAGAATATGAAGATGCGTCATTTAGGTGCAATCAAAGAAAGGCTACAACGTCAAAGAGTGCTCATCATTCTTGATGATGTAGATGATCTAGAGCAATTAGAGGTATTGGCTAAAGAACCTTCTTGGTTTGGTTCTGGAAGCCGGATCATCGTTACCACAGAAGATAAGAAGATTTTGGAGGCACATGGGATCAAGGATATCTACCATGTGGATTTCCCATCCGAGGAAGAAGCTCTTGAGATCTTATGTCTCTCTGCTTTCAAACAAAGCTCTGTACCAAATGGTTTTGAAGAGGTTGCCAATAAAGTAGCAGAGCTTTGCGGCAATCTTCCATTAGGCCTTTGTGTCGTGGGTTCATCTTTGCGTGGGCAGAGCAAGCAAGAGTGGGAACTTCAATTATCTAGAATTGATGGAAGTCTTGATGGAAAAGTTGAAGACATTTTGAAAGTGGGATTCGACAGTTTGTCGAAGAAAAATCAATCTCTATTCCTTCACATTGCATGCTTCTTCAACAATGAAGTCGTTGATAATGTGATATCTGTGCTTTCTGATAGTAACTTGGATGTTAGGAATGGGTTAGAGACCCTAGCCGATAAATCTCTCGTGCATAAATCTACCTATGGCCGTATAGTGATGCACCATCTACTACAACAATTGGGTAGACAGATAGTTCATGAACAGTCTGACGAGCCCGGGAAACGTCAATTTTTATTTGAGGCCGATGAGATTTGTGATGTACTGTCAACCGAAACAGTAAGTTTAAGTTCTTACATGTATATTGCCTATTTTTAGTGATAACAATTTCATCAGTCATTGGCAATGTTATTTTGTAGGGTACTGGATCAGTCATAGGTATATCATTTGATACATCCAATATCGGAGAAGTTTCTGTAAGTAAGGGGGCTTTTGAAGGAATGCGTAATCTCCGATTCCTAAGAATCTTTAGGCGTTGGTTTGGCGGCGAAGGTACTTTGCAAATACCAGAAGATTTGGATTATTTACCTCTTCTTAGGTTACTACATTGGGAATTTTACCCAAGAACAAGTCTTCCTCGGAGGTTTCAGCCGGAACGTCTCATGGAACTCCGTATGCCATTTAGCAATCTCGAGAAGCTCTGGGGAGGAATCCAGGTTTGGTATTCGATATTCTTTCTAGTGCTTCTAATGATTCAATTTAAATAAGAAATATTTCTCATTTAACATGCAGTCCCTTCCTAATCTCAAGATCATAGATCTGATGTTTTCCCGTCAATTGAAAGAAATCCCAAATCTTTCAAATGCTACTAATCTCGAGGAATTGACACTTGAGGGCTGCGGAAGTTTGGTGGAGCTTCCATCTTCTATTAAGAATCTACAAAAACTAAAGATTCTAGATGTTGGTTTTTGCTGTATGCTACAAGTTATTCCCAGCAACATCAACTTAGCATCTCTTAAGATACTCACCATGAATGGTTGCTCACGGTTGAGAACTTTTCCAGAAATCTCCAGTAACATCAAGGTTCTCAATCTCGGAGATACAGATATAGAAGATGTCCCTCCATCAGTTGCTGGATGTTTGTCTCGTCTTGATCGCCTCAACATTTGCAGCAGCAGCCTCAAGAGATTGACACATGTACCACTCTTTATAACTGACCTAATTCTTAATGGCAGTGATATAGAGACGATTCCAGATTGCGTCATAGGTCTCACTCGTCTAGAATGGCTTTCTGTCAAAAGGTGCACAAAACTCGAGTCAATTCCGGGTCTTCCCCCCTCCCTCAAGGTCCTAGATGCAAACGATTGTGTATCACTCAAGAGAGTACGCTTCTCTTTCCATACCCCAACCAATGTACTCCAATTCAGCAACTGTTTGAAACTGGATAAAGAATCAAGAAGAGGAATCATACAAAAATCAATTTACGATTATGTATGCTTACCAGGTAAAAAAATCCCTGCAGAGTTCACTCACAAAGCAACAGGGAGATCCATAACCATCCCTCTGGCTCCGGGTACTCTCTCTGCTTCCTCAAGGTTTAAGGCTTGCCTTCTCATTTCCCCAGTTAAGGACTACGGATATGAAGGTGTAAGCTGTACTATAAGAAGCAAAGGAGGTGTTACAGTTCATAGATGCGAGTGTCCACATCTGTCTTTGTCTTTTCGGTCAGAACATCTGTTTATATTTCATGATGATTTGTTTCCCCAAGGAAACAAATGCCATGAAGCCGATGTGACCATGAGCGAGATTATATTTGAGTTCAGCTGCGATTTCGGCGATGACAAGATTATTGAGTGTGGTGTACAGATCATGAGAGAGGAAGTTGAGGGTAGCAACATCAGGGAATTGGACAGCCATGAAACTGAGAGTAGTAGCAGCGAAGTGGACAGCCATGAAACTGAGAGTGGCAGCAACTGTTTGAAACTGGATAAAGAATCAAGAAGAGGAATCATACAACAATCAGTTGGCATGTATAAATGGTTACCAGGTAAAAACATCCCTGCAGATTTCACTCACAAAGCAACAGGGAGATCCATAACCATCCCTCTGGCTCCGGGTACTCTCTCTGCTTCCTCAAGGTTTAAGGCTTCCATTCTCATTTTGCCAGTTGAGTACGCCGGATTAAGAACTATAAGTTGTAGTATCAGAAGCAAAGGAGGTGTTACAGTTCATAGCTACGAGTTTGAATATCTGTCTTTGTCTTTTCGGTCAAAACATCTGTTTATATTTCATGGCGATTTGTTTCCCCAAGGAAACAAATGCCATGAAGTGGATGTGACCATGAGCGAGATTATATTTGAGTTCAGCTTCAATGTCGGCAATGCCAAGATTAGTGAGTGTGGTGTACAGATCATGACAGAGGAAGCTGAGGGTAGCAGCATCAGGGAGTTGGACAACTATGAAACTGAGAGTAGCAGCAGCGAAGTGGACAGCCATGAAACTGAGAGTAGCAGCAGCGAAGATGGAAATGGAGATGAAAACATCAAAACCAGTAAACAAATAGGTTTTAGGAGTTGGCTTCAGAATTTTTTTGGTCTAAAAGAGAAGAAGATGAATACGACAGAGTGGAGTTCTGACAAAGGGGACATCTGTGAAACTGAGAGTAGCAGCAGCAAAGTGGATTATTAGGAAACTGGAGGTGACGATAATCACCTCACAGATGGATATGAAGTTGGAGATGGAGATGGAGACTATGACGCAGAAGGTTTCAAGTTCTCTGAAATTGAAAACATCTAATCAAGTAACCCGAAACTCGTGACAATGCCGGCTCTTCCCCTGTAGCTCAAGTCCTTAAATGCAAACGAATGTGTATAAGGAGGTATGGAGATTAATTGGGATTTACAAAAAAATCTGTTTGTCTTGCAAAACCTTTGTGAGTTTGTGAATTTGAATGAGTCACACCTCTTGTCTATAAGCTTAGTATATGACTGAATGAGTTACACATCTTTTTCTTTAATGAGTGAATGAGTGATACCTCTTGGCAAATCTGTTAAGTATAGACCTCTTGTCTTTAAGCTTTGTTATTGTGGATATGGTAACACGCTAATACTCTTAGAGTAGAGAAATTAGTAGGAGATTAATTGGGATTTACAGAATCCATGAGCAAAAATCTGTTTTGTTTTGCAAAACCTTTGTGAGTGTGATTAGTAGTAGACAAAGCATATCCCAATATTGTCGCTACACTAGGTTCTGTACGACAGTATGAGTTATACCGTTTTGGTTTAATAGACAAAGCCTTGTATTTATTTCTTAATTAGCTGTTTAAGTACTAAGAAAAGTCTTGTTATTTTGTGATCTAGTTAGTTAGCTGTTTAAGTACTAAGAGAAGTTTTGTTATCTTGTCAACGCATTCGAGAAAACTTGTGAAGGACATGAAGCAAAGCTTTGACTGATGAGCAAACATAATTGTGTACATTTCTGATTATCCAAATGACCAAATCTGTAGAGAGACTGGAATATCTGATCCCCTAGCTCCAATTTTCTTAATTCTTCACAGAGAGTTGCTTTCATTGTTCTGCTACATAGGCTTATTCAGAACAATTGCAAACTCTGTGATAACTTTTTCAACATCTCTTTTACTATGAAACTAATAGTAGCAGCAACCAAACCAAACCAATAATAAACAGCAAATCTTAACGAAATCAAACCTTATGGATGGATGGGGTCCTCACCGACTTTGGGGGAAACATTTTGTTTTTGTATTTTTCTATACAAGGAGGACAAAGTCCTTTGAAATATCAGTTCCGTAGATAGCTTATCCAAAACAGTTGTGATACCTTCATCGTCCATATCAAAGCTTACCATATCTTTCATGGCTTCTTCTCCTTCTTCGTCTTGCTCGCATCAAGAGATGGTGATGCACCCAATTTGGCATCACTATCTCTACTCCATTAAAAATTGACGTTTATTGGCATCTCCGTATCTCGGATAACTCCAACCAACCAATTTGGAAACCCGAAATATGGAAATGCCAATAAACCCGAATTTGATCCGTTTTAAACTAATAGTAGCAGCAACCAACCAAACCAACAATAAACAGCAAATCTTTACGAAATATGGAAATGCCAATAAACACCATTTTCTTAATAGAAACTGAAGACATTCTCAATGTACTAGGAAACGGAACAGTAAGTTTTTACATATATCTTACTGAATTTTGATATGTCCAAGACCAAGTAGTAGTTGGTTTAATTTAGTAGGCGAGCCTTTGAAGAGAAATCATACACCATTTGAAAGCCAAATATGTCTGCTTACCCGGAAAAGAACTCTCTGTGGAGTACACTCACAAAGCGAGATTCTGTTCGAATTCACTTGCTCAGATAACAACAAGATTATTGAGTGTGGTATACAGATCTTGAAAGAAGGATATGATGAATATTTGGACTGTGAACCTGAAGCCGTAGGCAACATTGGCTACCAAAATGTTGAGAATGTGGATAACGCTAAACACACAGGTTGTTGGTCTAAGAAAAAGAAGACAAAAAGCTCCACCGTGAAACATCACTTTATTTTTCACACTAAGTTGTCCCAGAAACACAGAAGAATCAAATGCGATTGAGGATGGAGCCGCTCGGATCTCTAAAGATGAAAATGTCACAAGCAGTAAATATGTCAGATCATTGAGTGCAGTGCATGGATTTGATGGATAAAACTCAGAGTAGCAGCAACGAAAAGTCTTAAAAAGAACGTAGCATCCACAAATGCAGAAAACTCTGTGTCACATATCGATCTTTTGGAGTCCGTTGAGTGTCGAAAATGTAAGCAAAGTGTGAATCATTGAAGAGATTCTATTGTTATTCCTGCAACTGTGTGAAACTAGACGAATCAAGAAGAGTAATCCCGCATGTCTTTAATCAGATGTGTCAACTCGTTCTCTATCAGAACATCTGTTTTTATAATTTGGTGGTGACTTGTATCATCAACAAAGCATAAATATTTAACGAAGTGGATGTGACCATGAGCAAGGTTCTGTTCGAGTTCACTTACTGGGACAATGAGAACAAGACTATTGAATGCAAGCAGCACCATTGCATTAGGGTTAGTTATTGTCTTGTGTATATTTGCTTTCCAGGTAAGTAAGAAACTACTGTTGTATTCAATAGATGGCTTATTCAGAACCATTGTAACTCTGTGATAACTTCTCTTTTACTAAGAAACTGAGTGTAGACGTAGTAGCAAAGAACAGAAGCTGAGACCATAGAACATTAAGATATATATAGATCAAGAAGAAGCAACATAGGGTTTTGAGGCCAAACCTGAAATGAAGATCCTTTATGATTTAAGGATCGATCAATCGAGCATACAAAAGCCTATCATACAAAAACCAAAACAGAGTAAATCTCCGACCTGATCATCCAAATAAACAATCTCAAATTGAAAAAATTGATGAAGACAAAATCAACCGTTGAAAAATTGGTTATGTAGAGTGTCTCTCACCGATCAATACAACAGATTCAAAAGAGAATTTGAAAGCAACTGAGGATCAGAAGAAGAAGAAGAAAAAACGGAGTTGTGTTTTTCCCCTGTTTTTGTGTTCTTCTTGGTTGCTAAGAAAATCTCTAATTTCTTTTTTTGTTTCTAACCAGAAAACCTAACCAGAAAACCAATTTTGATCGAATTGAAAAGGCCGGTTTAGTTTTTCAAACCAAATTTACAATTGGATATCGAGAGTTTTAAGATCCCTAATTTTGAATCATGTCTGGTTCTTTCTTCTTCCTCCGATCATCTTCTCACCGAGTCTCATGCTTCAGCTCTGAGCTCATCTCTACGAAATAAAATTCCGATTGCCAAAAATTCAAAACCTTATGAGGTTCTCAAGACCATGAGGAAACACTCTTATGGGTCATCGACGACTTTGAGGGAAACATTTTTTGTATTTTTCTCTACAGAGAGACAAATCCCTTTGAAATTTCAATCCTCTCGTTACGCGTTTTCTTCAATTATATAAGCGAGAGACTTGTTTTCTACTCCATAGATTGCTTATCCAAAACCATTGTGGTACCTTCTTCTTCAATCTCAAAATTTACCAATCTGTTTCATGGCTTCTTTTTCTTCGTCTCGTATGAAGAGATTCCATGTCTTTTCGAGCTTTCACGGTCCAGATTTCCGTAGAGGGTTTCTCAGTCATTTACACTGTCATTTCGCAAGCAAAAGGAATCACAACTTTCAATGATCAGGAGATCAAGAGAGGCCACACGATTGGACCTGAGCTCGTACAAGCGATTAGAGAATCTAGAGTCTCGATTGTGGTGCTCTCGAAGAAGGTACGCTTCTTCCAGCTGGTGTTTAGATGAATTGGCTGAAATCTTGAAGTGCGAAGAAGCTCAAGAGCAGATTGTGATGACCATTTTTTAAGACGTTTATCCGTCTGATGTACGGAAACGGGAGGGAGATTTCGGGAGCGCTTTCGAGAAGACTTGTCAAGGGAAAACTGAGGAGGTGAAGCTCAGATTGCCGGGGACACTCTCTTAATTGGTATGTAAATCGTCTCTTAATGAACTTAGTTATCTTTTGGAAATGCTTCACTTTAAGGAAATTTAGACTCCTTAACATGATTTTGTTTGCATATGTTAGGGCTAATCGCCTCTTATTGATGTTTCAAACAGACTGAATGGCTTATTGGTATGTAACCATTGCTGGGGAACACTCTCTCAATTGGTATGTAAATCGTCTCTCTTAATGCCTTGGATGCGATGACGTGAAGATGATTGTAATTTGGGGTCCTGCGGGAATTTGTAAGACTACCATTGCTAGAGCTCTATATAACCAACTTTGTAGCGAGTTTCCACTTAGTTTGTTTTATGGGGAACCTCAAAGGAAGTTATAAGAGCATAATGGGTGTTGATGACTATGATTCCATGTTGTGTTTACAAAACCAACTTCTGTCCAAGATTTTCAACAAAAGGGATATGAGGATAAATAATTTAGATGCAATCAAGGAATGGCTACAAGATTCATGAGTGCTTATCATTCTTGATGATGTAGACAATCTACAGCAATTTGAGGCCTTGGCAGCTTTCTTTGTTTGGTTCTGGAAGTCGGATTATCATTACCACTGAAGATAGAAGGATTCTAAAGGCACATGAGTTTATGATATCTACCCTGTTGGTTTTCTTTCCAAAGAGAAAAATCAACCGTTAAAAAATTGGTTATGTAGAATGTCTCTCACCGATCAATAAAACAGATTCAAAAGAGAAATAAAAAAGCAACTGAGAAATTCAGAAGAAGAAGAAGAAAAAAGAGTTTTATTTTTCCCCTGTTTTTTCTTCTTCTTGGTTGCTAAGATAATTAAGAGAAAAACAAAAAGTTGCAGGAAAATGTTGAATTTTGGTTTGGTGTGATTTTGATCGTTGAAAACATTTTCCGAGTTCTTCGGAGTCCCATATATAAAATACACTTTTTAATAACTGTTAATCGCATATAGTATCAATGTTATGGCCTTCACGTTGCTTGCACATCCCACCATGTAGGTGGGATGATAAAATTTTAGCGCGATTTAGATAAAATACTGTTTTGAACGGATTTGTTGTGAGTAGGGGTGTCAAAATGAGCTCGCAACTCATAAGCTGGCTCAGCTCAGCTCGATTTTTCATGAGCACGAGCTCTGTTTTTTAGGCTCATTTAATAAATGAGTTATGTGATCGAGCTTTTTTTAGATCGCGAGTTATATGAGCGAGATTTAATGAACATGAGCTCGACTTTTTTTAGATATATATATATATATATATATATATATATCTTTTCCATTTAAATTAAACAAAAATAGAATTATTCTTTTAGAAAATTTGTGTCTTTTTACATATTAATTTTAGAAGATAATTAAGTAATATAGAAATAATCTTTTAAAAAATTTATCTTAACCGTTTCCCAAAAAAAAAAAAGGAATTATCCTATTTAGATATTATATAAAACGTTTACTTGTAGATGAAGACAATGAAGATGTTGATGTAGGATCATCTCAAGAGCAAGACTCTAACACGGAATAAATTCTTGATCATTCCATATTTCTATTATCTTTAATTAATTTAATTTAATTGTTAGGATTTATTATTTGAGATTTTTTTTTTGTTTGGCGTTTTGAAATTATTTTTTTCTTGGATTTATTTCCATTATTTAACTTTAGAATTAATTATGTTATTGGATTTATTTTATTTTTTTAAAAAAAATTACAATATTTTTGTTATTATATTTATTTGTTATGAGCTAGCTCCTTTAACTCGTGACCAAAATGATCTGAGTCCGAGTTTATATATTGAAGCTCATCTAATAAATGAGCTGAGCTGAGTTAGCTCATAAAATGTCCGAGCTCATCATGAACTGAACCGAGTTGAGCGAGCTAGCTTATTTTGACACCCCTAGTTGCGAGTATCGGGAAAACCGAAATCTCAGGCTTGGCCCGTTTATAAAGTTAAGGGCCCAATATCAGGCCCTAAAATGTCAAATTCGTAATTTCTTTGATAACTTCTCTTTTACTTATGAAACTGAGTGTCCTCCACACCAATGAGACAGAAGCTGTTAAAATAGAAGCCACACGTTATTTCAATACATCCACTACACACAAAAAAAAAAAAAAAGCAGAAAAAACCTAAATTAAACATCCAAAATCATCATTCCCAAAAGCAGAATTTAATTCGATATTACTGTTATTGAATTTAAAACAAATAAAAGACCCGGTTTACTTTTCAAACCAAATTTACAAAATGTGGTATGTGGTTGAGCTCATTCGAAACTTCGTGATTCGTCGTCTCTACCAACTTGACTGTCGGATACTTATTATAACTCTGTGCTCTCTACCAACTTGACTGTCGGATACTTATTATAACTCTGTGCTCATTTCACATGGCAAAGCTTTAATGAGTGATTGTGGTCCTCGACGACTATAAAGAAACACGTACGCTTTTGAAATTTGTCCTCTTCTATTTTGTATTTCTTCAATTACATTCCAATTTCTTCGAAATTTCTCTTCTCTTTACGCGTTTTTTTGCTTCACTACAAAAACCAAAGGAGCTTGCTCTTCCAATCATACATTCTTCAATACCATTCTAATTAAGAATACTATCTTCAAGTTCAAGCATTTGTGATCTCTCATGGCTTCTTCTTCTTCTTCCTCTGGCATCATGAGATACCATGTTTTCCCGAGCTTCCATGGCCCAGATGTTCGTAGAGGGTTTCTCAGTCATTTACACGATCACTTCGCAAGCAAAGGGATCACGACGTTTAAAGATCAGGAGATCGAGAGAGGCCACACGATTAAACCTGAGCTCGTACAAGCGATTAGAGAATCTCGAGTCTCGATCGTGCTGCTCTCGAAGAAGTACGCTTCTTCGAGCTGGTGTTTAGATGAACTTGTGGAAATCTTCAAGTGCAAAGAAGATCAGGGGCAGATCGTGATGACCATCTTCTATGACGTTGATCCGTCGAGTGTACGGAAACAGAAGGGAGATTTCGGAACCGCATTCATGAAGACTTGTGAAGGGAAAAGTGAGGAGACGAAGCAGAGTTGGAGCAATGCTTTGACTCATGCTGCAAACATAGAAGGAGAACATTCTCTTAATTGGTATCTTGTTTTTATCTTCTTCATTTTTTTTTTTTCTTTTTTTTTTGTCTCTGAATGAATTAGTGCTTCAAATTTTTGTAATTTAGACCCACCAACATGATTTTGTTTTGCTTTTGTTAGGGCTAATGAAGCAGATATGATTAAAAAGATTGCTACCGATGTTTCAAACAAACTTAATCTTACACCGTCGAAGGATTTTGACGGGATGGTGGGACATGAAGCTCACTTGGCAAAATTGAACTCTTTGTTATGCTTGGAAAGTGATGAAGTCAAGATGATTGGGATTTGGGGTCCTGCAGGCATTGGTAAGTCCACCATTGCTAGAGCTTTAGACAACCAACTCTCTAGCAATTTTCAACTTAAATGTTTTATGGGGAACCTCAAGGGTAGTCTTAAGAGCAGAATGGGTGTTGATGACCATGATTCCAAGTTGTGGTTGCAAAACCAACTTCTGTCTAAGATTTTGAACCAAGAGAATATGAAAATACGTCATTTAGGTGCAATCAAAGAATGGCTACAATATCAAAGAGTGCTCATCATTCTTGATGATGTAGATGATCTAGAGCAATTAGAGGTATTGGCTAAAGAACCTTCTTGGTTTGGTTCTGGAAGCCGGATCATCGTTACCACAGAAGATAAGAAGATTTTGGAGGCACATGGGATCAACGATATCTACCATGTGGATTTTCCGTCCATGGAAGAAGCTCTTGAGATCTTATGTCTCTCTGCTTTCAAACAAAGCTCTGTACCAGATGGTTTTGAAGAGCTTGCCAATAAAGTAGCAAAGCTTTGCGGTAAGCTTCCATTAGGCCTTTGTGTCGTGGGTTCATCTTTGCGTGGGCAGAGCAAGCACGTGTGGGAACTTCAATTATCTAGAATTGATGGAAGTCTTGATGGAAAAGTTGAAGACATTTTAAAAGTGGGATATGACAGATTGTCGAAGAAAAATCAATCTCTATTCCTTCACATTGCATGCGTCTTCAACCATGAAGTCGTTGATAATGTGATATCTGTGCTTTCTGATAGTAACTTGGATGTTAGGAATGGGTTAGAGACCCTAGCCGATAAATCTCTCGTGCATAAATCTACCTATGGCCGTATAGTGATGCACCATCTACTACAACAATTGGGTAGACAGATAGTTCATGAACAGTCTGACGAGCCCGGGAAACGTCAATTTTTAACTGAGGCGGAAGAGATTTGTGATGTACTGACAACCGAAACAGTAAGTTTAAGTTCTTACATGTATATTGCCTATTTTTAGTGATAACAGTTTCATCAGTCTTCTTTGGCAATATTATTTTGTAGGGTACTGGATCTGTCATAGGTATATCATTTGATACATCCAATATCGGAGAGGTTTCTGTTGGTAAAGCGGCTTTTGAAGGAATGCGTAATCTCCGATTCCTAAGAATCTATAGGAGCTTCGGCTCCCAAAGGCACGTGTCGTTGGCTAAGTCCGTTCGGCGGAAGCGTCGTCCAATGCAAATACCAGAAGATTTGGATTATTTACCTCTTCTTAGGTTACTACATTGGAAACATTACCCAAGAAAAAGTCTGCCTTTAAGATTTCAGCCGACACGTCTTGTGGAACTCCATATGCCATACAGCAAAATTAAGAAATATTCTTTCTAGTGCTTCTAATGATTCAATTTAAATAAGAAATATTTCTCATTTAACATGCAGTCCCTTCCTAATCTCAAGATCATAGATCTGATGTGTTCCCGTCAATTGAAAGAAATCCCAAATCTTTCAAAATCTACTAATCTCGAGACATTGACACTTGCGAGGTGCACAAGTTTGGTGGAGCTTCCCTCTTCTATTAAGAATCTACAAAAACTAAAGATTCTAAATGTTGATTATTGCTCTATGCTACAAGTTATTCCCAGCAACATCAACTTAGCATCTCTTGAGAGAGTAGACATGATTGGTTGCTCACGGTTGAGAACTTTTCCAGAAATCTCCAGTAACATCAAGGTTCTCAATCTCGGAGATACAGATATAGAAGATGTCCCTCCATCAGTTGGATGTTTGTCTCGTCTTTATACCCTCAACATTTGCAGCAGAAGCCTCAAGAGATTGACACATGTACCACTCTTTATCACTAAACTATTTCTTAATGGCAGTGATATAGAGACGATTCCAGATTGCGTCATAGGTCTCACTCGTCTAGAATGGCTTTCTGTCGAAAGGTGCACAAAACTCGAGTCAATTCCGGGTCTTCCCCCCTCCCTCAAGGTCCTAGAAGCAAACGATTGTGTATCACTCAAGAGAGTACGCTTCTCTTTCCATAACCCACCCAATGTACTCCAATTCACCAACTGTTTGAAACTGGATAAAGAATCAAGAAGAGGAATCATACAACAAGCAGATTTCACTCACAAAGCAACAGGGAGATCCATAACCATCCCTCTGGCTCCGGGTACTCTCTCTGCTTCCTCAAGGTTTAAGGCTTCCATTCTCATTTTGCCAGTTGAGTACGCCGGATATGTTACAAGAAGAGGAATCATACAAAAATCAATTTACGATTATGTATGCTTACCAGGTAAAAAAATCCCTGCAGAGTTCACTCACAAAGCTACAGGGAGATCCATAACCATCCCTCTGGCTCCGGGTACTCTCTCTGCTTCCTCAAGGTTTAAGGCTTGCCTTCTCATTTCCCCAGTTAAAGACTACGGATATGAACGTATAAGCTGTAGTATAAGAAGCAAAGGAGGTGTTACAGTTCATAGCTGCGAGCTTCCATTTTATGTTTTGAGTTTTCGGTCAAAACATCTGTTTATAGTTCATGGTGACTTGTTTCGCCAACGAAACAATTGCTATGAAGTGGATGTGACTATGAGCGAGATTACATTTGAGTTCAACCACAAGTACATCGGTGACAAGATTATAGAGTGTGGTGTACAGATCATGACAGAGGAAGCTGAGGATAGCAGCAGCAGGAAATTGGACAACTATGAAACTGAGAGTAGCAGCAGCGAAGTGGACAGCCATGAAACTGAGAGTAGCAGCAGCGAAGTGGACAGCCATGAAACTGAGAGTAGCAGCAGCGAAGTGGACAGCCATGAAACTGAGAGTAGCAGCAGCGAAGTGGACAGCCATGAAACTGAGAGTAGCAGCAGCGAAGATGGAAATGGAGATGAAAACATCAAAACCAGTAAACAAACAGGTTTTAGGAGTTGGCTTCGGAAGTTTTTTTGTCTAGAAGAGAAGAAGATGAATACGACGGAGGGAATTCTCATGGAGTCTCATGAGACCAAGCCAGTTTTTTGTACTTTGCTTCACCATCTTCGTAAGGTACTATCTTCTAGATAACAGATGGAGATGGAGATTATGAGCCTCAAGCTGTTCAGCTCTGTAAAGATGAAAACATCATAGGTTGTTGGATTTAATTTGGAAAGCTGAATCTGGGGTAGAAGAAGAATAAACCTTCATCTTAGGTCGTAGGATTCAGTCAGGGGAAGAAGATGGATCTTACATTATATTAGGGGTATTTATTGGTTTGAGTATATTTGTATTTTATTAAAAATTAGTTATGCATTTGATCGGTAAAGATTAATGATTACTGATTCTGGACACTAGCCATTAGTGGTATCGAGTTTATTCCCGATTTTTTCACACGTTTCCCGTCATTTGTAACTTGTTACTGTTTAGGTCTTCCCATTAACGAGCATAAGTATTTGTCATCCACTAGAGACCAGTCTCCTTAATTTCTGTTGTTGATTTGGTTGTTGATGTGTGTGTGGGTTGTTGTAGAAGATGTATTGCTGTGTTCTTTAGTCGTTGTGATTCTTGGTTAAGACTTCATTGCTTTGGGGACAATCTTAAGAGATGGATTTATCTGAGTTTGAACGTAGATTGCCTTAGCCATAGAACCTAAGCGTTAGAAGCTTATGTGAATCAAGCTATCAACGTAGGATTCCTGCAGGTTCTTGTTTACATGAACATGACGCTTAACATTATATTCTTTCTGTTTCAGGTAGGAGATAGGGAATTTCGACAAGACACTGATTCTCCAGAGATCAAAACTAAGTCCACACAAGGAGACCATACAGTTCCAGGTTGTTGGAGCAGTGCCTTGTGTTGTGAGCATAAAAAGGCAAAACCCTTGAAAGAAGGTTGATAGCATTAGAGAAAACAGAAGCATTGCAGCTCACACCGTCCATCCATCGAGAAGTAACCCATGAACTGATGATACTTTCAGTATTTTTTTCCGGATTGATTGATCGTAGAATCATAATCCTGTTTCCATTGGCCTTAATTAGCTGTTTAAGTACTAAGAAAAGTCTTGTTACCTTTTGATCTAGTTAATTAGCTGTTTAAGTAGTAAGAAAAGTTTTGTGATCTTGTGAATTACTTGAGAATCATATTAATGTTTCCATCGGTCTTAGTGAATTACTTTATTGTTGAATTAAGTAAAATATCAAACTCCAGCGTTTGCAAAGAAAGTTTGGTTCTTGATATTCAAATGTAGCTCCTCAACACTCAACTCCTTTCATTCATCGGTGAACTCTTTAATTGTTTCAGCTCCAAGATTATTCTTTTGGTAATCGACTTAAACCTTGGGTGTTTAGAATTCTTTTAAGGCCCATAACTTTGATAATAGTGAATCCCAAAGGCCCAAATCACCAAATCTCTAATGGTGATGATGCGAATCGTGTGAGAAGAAAGAATGAAGAAATGAGAGAGCTCCTGTGAATTACGAACATTAATGGCGGCCACTCCGTGGTACTTTGTCGCAGTACTTCTCACCATTCTCACCAGCTCTCAGGTTCCAATTTCCAACCCTAATTCTCCAATTCCTTTCTTCTTCTCTTGGTAGTTATGATTGAATCCGAGATTCATTTTCGCTTTGTTTCTGCGCGAGTTTATAGATCTATAAATTGAGTTATTGGTGGTGTTATTATCTCCAAAATCTATTTCTGGTTCATGTACGTCGGTTAGAGTGTGTGTGATAATTGCTATTTTCCACGGCTTCGAGCAATGTCATGTTAGATCGTTAGATTCGATGTTCCAGTGGATTCTGGTTTTCAATTTGCGAATGCTTGATTAATTTGATTGTTCGATATATGTTGCTGAAGAAGTTTTGTGAGAATTTGTTCACTAAAAGTTGTTATTAGTTTATACAAGTCATGATCATCATTCTTTATGTTCTTCTGGCTTTAGGTTTGAGATAGCAATATTCACTGGATAGATTCGAAAACGAGAGATATTTGTTTCCATTCTCTCACTGTGTAAACATATGCCTCAGGGAATTTTAACAACTCTTTCTCAAAGCAATGGAGGTTATAAGTATGATTATGCTACTGTTCCCTTTCTTGCCGAAGTTTTTAAGGTATTTTTTTGCTTCTCTAAATGTTTTGACGGATTTTTGCATGTCTTATTTAGCTGCTGAGTTTGTTTACTTTTGTTAAATTTTTCTGCAGCTGATAGTCTCTGCTTTATTTCTCTGGAGAGAGATGCGGACATCTTCCTCAACAACTTCGAGGATTACTACGGATTGGAAGAGCGTGCGCTTATTTGTTATTCCTTCTCTTATATACCTGATCCATAACAATGTGCAGTTTGCTACATTGACTTTTGTAGACACATCCACTTATCAGATAATGGGTAATTTGAAGATTGTGACCACTGGTATACTCTTCAGGTATCCGTTTCGTGTGCCGTCTTTCTCTGTATAATCCTTTTGCGCTGAGCTCTCTCTGTGGATTAACTAACTAATTTGTAATTTGTAATTTGTAATTGGTCGTTGTTATAGGTTATTTTTGAAAAGGAAACTATCTAAACTTCAGTGGATGGCAATTGGTCTTTTAGCTGTTGGAACAACTACCAGCCAGGTGTGGTGATGCATACATTAAATTGTGTATGCTATTTTTCCTTTCTATTTTAGTACTTATAGTCTTATGATTCTCAAGATGTTCATGTTATTCTACTTAGCAGTCAGCACACTAGATTTGTACTGGTAATTTAAAAGCTAGGCTGGCGTAAAAATTTCAACCATTCAATTTTATCTTGTCGTTTCAGGTGAAGGGATGTGGAGAAGCTTCATGTGATTCTTTATTCACGGCACCAATACAAGGTTATTTGCTGGGCATCCTCTCAGCTGGTTTGTCTGCGCTAGCCGGAATCTACACAGAGTTTCTGATGAAGAGAAACAACGACACCTTATACTGGCAAAACTTGCAGTTGTATACGTAGGTATCTCTTCTTCGCATCAAACTTTCTCATGCCAAGAGTTTTATTGTCACACTACTTAATCAACTTAGAATCCCTCTTCATTAGGAATGGTATCTGGTTCAATCATCATATCTTTTCTTTCTTTACTCACCAGGTTTGGTTCACTTTTCAACGTTGCCCGACTTATAGCAGATGATTTCAGACACGGGTTTGAAAAGGGTCCTTGGTGGCAACGTATCTTTGATGGGTACAGCATCACCACTTGGATGGTAGTTCTGAATCTTGGTTCCACCGGCTTACTGGTCTCGTGGTTAATGAAGTATGCAGACAATATCGTGAAGGTGAAAGATCAATCTTTTTCTTCATAATCAAACATAAGAAAGTAAAAAAATAAATCTGTTCTTAAACTCACATTTTACATTTTTCTTCTAGGTTTATTCTACATCAATGGCGATGCTACTTACTATGGTTGCTTCCATATACCTCTTCAGCTTCAAACCAACACTGCAGGTTTGTATATGATTTATCTCGGATCAGATCTTCCTTCTTGTATTTGCCTCATTCGTCTTCTTTTGCCTGATACAATCTGCAGCTTTTCTTGGGTATCGTCATATGCATCATGTCACTTCATATGTACTTTGCTCCTCCACACACGCTCGTGGACTTGCCAGTGACAAATGAAGCACATCCCAAGATCTTAAAGCAAGTTGTCGTAGAAGAAAAGACAGATTCTTGAATCAAATTGGACGAAAAGGTTAGTCAACATATAGGAAAAGCAATTTGCTAAGTAAATGAACACAATGATCTTCTTCTAGCTTCATTTCTAATAGAGAATCAGAAACTTGGATATGAGTTCTTTCGACTATCAATGATCTGATAGTTTATGCACGTACCGATTATATTCTTTGTAAATGTACATCGAGGTGCGTAGAAGTAGTAAATTTGATTGTTGAAGCCTGTTGTTTTCTTTTTCTTACGCTGATGATATGTAAGAATGTCTACCAGATAACTAGTGTGTTCCTTTTTTGACCGGCTGGTCTGATGTGTTTGGGTTATCTGGAGTTGGTTCAGGTTTGGTTTATAGGCATTGAGCTTTGTATAGGTGTTGGTTCGAGTTCGGTTTATAGGCATTGAGCTTTCTAAAGTGTGGACGTTCTTAACCACGACGCTATTACGGATTCGGAAGAAAACAAATGTTATACCACAAAAACACAAAAAATATAGAACAAATTTGATTTAGCTTCCACTCTTGTTTTGAAAACAATAGTCACATGACGGGCATCATACTATCTTCACATCTTCTAAATGTCGTGAGCAACACTCTACAAAATGATAGTAAAATTATTTATAAACTTTTCACTTATGTAGTAGTGGTTGAAGATGAACTTTGTAACTTTGTTTTTTATCCCGGTCTTTTTTTTTTTTCCGCTTATTTTCGTTGTAACAAAGTAACAAACTGAAGTGATAATCAATCATTTTCTTAATAAATGGTAGTTTATCCAAAAAAAAGCATTAATACGATTTCGTATCTTTGCATATCAAAACTTAAGAAAAAATGTAGTTGAAGTCTATTATACTAGTGTGATATACCATGGCCACGAGTCACTCCATCTCCATAGATTCTTATTTATGACACATTGACGAAAGGGAAATGGTAAGCCAAATCCGTAACGATAGGGGCACTTGTAAACATTAAAAGAACACGACGTACTAGTCGTCGCATGCATGCAACTAGAAAGATTTAGATGTTTCCAAAGAATCAAGAATGGGTCCATCTTCCCTCATTTTATCCCCAACGAAAGTTCAAGAAACAACGATCACACTCCTCCACTAATAAATTGAATCAAATATTGAGCTTTTTAATAGATGATCATTAGGGTTATTTTGAACAAGAGAGGATTTCGGTTTTTAAAAATAGCATTAACTTGCATTTGAGTCTGATAAACCTGAGTTAACGATGTTCAGAGCATAAACTTAAGTAATTTAGAAAATTGAATTATATTTCCCATCACCAAGTTGCCTTCAACACTAAATTCGATCGTAGTCTTTACAGTTACTAAGGAACCAACAAAAAAAAGAAGCATTAAATTCGCTTCTGTTTTTGTGAAAACGAAAACTAACAAAATTCAACGAAAGCCAATTAATGAGAAATAATACAAGACACACAAAAGAGTTATCTCGGTGCATTTAATATGTGAAGTGATTAATATAGCAGCCTCCAATATTGAATTTGTTACAATCAAGGGATTAACTAAAAAAACAAAAACCAAATTAAATGGCATCGAAGTAATATATGACTTTGAAACTTTAAATCAACGCTTTAGTGATTTTAAAATCTCCCTAGAAACATTCATATATATATAGCCGTTTAATTTTTGTTCTTGTTTGGCATTTTTCTTAAAATGAATAAAATCTGGCTTTAGTTCATTGTTAAACACACAAACTTCAATCGAAATAATATTAGAGGTGACTTTTTCAATTCTTAATAAGAGAAGTATTTTAGTTTTAGGCATAAGTGATAAATACTTTCATGTTTACCATTTTTAACAGTTGTGGTTTTTTTTTTTTTTTTGACTCAACTTCAACTTCATATTAACCAATAATTAGTTACATATTGTCTATGTCCACAAAGAGTTTAGCCACATTGGCATTATAGAATACAACTTAGGGTCATAATTCTCAAAAGAAATAGACTCCTTTGCTATTCTATCCGCGGTCCGCCACATCATTGCCTTCTCGAAACGTGAACACCACTTAATTTGTGGTTTTGTCACTTAATTTGTTATTAAGAAATGCTTTACATAGTTAATGAAAATATATAAAAATCATGGTATTTGTACTCATTATCAATTGTATGTGAAATATACTTATTAGACATACTATGTAGTACTCAATTAGTCCATAAAGAATTATAATTCATGTATTACAAATTTAATGATTATTCAGCTTTGCAAGATGTTTGATATGATTAATATCGCATTTGATGTAGCCTACGACAGAGACCTGGATAAATCAAATACAGAAAAGACAAACATTAACACACAAAAGAACAAAACTAAATATTAAATTAACATAGTAGCAAAAAAATAAAGAAGAAAATATCAAAATCTAGTACGTGCTTGCATCTACATGATCCAACGAAGTTCTTCGCCTATCCACAATATATTGTCTTGCCTATATAAACACATATCCCATTTCCTCATAAGAAACCTCAAGCCCTAAATCAAATCTCAAGAAACCTAGCTTTCTTGTCAAACAATCAAACCCTTTTTAGATATAACAAATGGGAATCAAATTCAGCCATGTTCCTTCGAATACAACCATTCACTACATAAGTCATCATGATAACCATCAAGATGGTGAAGATCAAAGGAGCAAGACGACCACGAAGGTTGATCAGGACAAGACTCAAAATCGATCAAGCAGCTTTCAGATTCCACTTCATTATCCAAAGTATACAAAGAGTGATTATGAGAAAATGCCAGAGTGGCAATTGGATCAGCTTCTGAGAGAGTATGGCTTGCCGGTTATCGGAGATTCTTACGAGAAGAGGAAATTTGCCATCGGAGCTTTTCTCTGGTCGTCGGAGAACGAGCACTAGATAGTTTCATCGTACGTCGTCGTTTCATATGGCGCTATTTAAATAAAAATAAGTTGGTGAAATTGAGTAAAAGAACATGTTTGCATGTATATTTATTATATATATATTATATTATCTTGTACATGTATGTTTTATATAACAATATGTATAGACAGGATATGTTCTTTGGGACATGTATGTTTTATAAAATATATATATATTATATGTATCGATCGTATGTTTCTCTACTCTCCATGTATGTTGTTACCTCATGGGCACGACATTTGTAATAGCTATACTAAACTTTATACTCCCTCTGTTTTAAATTAAAGTATCCTTTAAGGATTGTACTTTTGTTTTAAAATATAAGTTTTGTTTTAAACTTTCAATTTAAAATTTGGCATAAAATTCATGTGTGAAAGTATTTTGCTTCATTATCTTAATCTTACACTAGCGAGTTTTAGATGATTGCTTCATCTAAACATGCTCATATTTGTGATCTTTGATACTCCAAAAGGCGAAAAATTGTACTTTTGGAAACACGAATCCATGAAATTTCTTGCAAAACACATCCATTATATTTATTGTACGATTGTGTTAGATATCGCAAATTTATAATTAAAAAGTAAAAATTAACAATCAGTAAATTGATTAAAAGCAAAATGAAACTGCTTTGATGGAAGATATATTGGCCGCTTAGAACTGAGGATTTGTAAGTTTTAGTTGACAAATGACAATGTAGATCTATTTCACGTCATGAACAATATTGTCGTTCCCGTCAGAACTTTGAGTCTATTTCGTACATACTCGAACATGTACATATATAATAAACATTAGAAAATGATCTTTGGGTGTTGGATTCTCCCCTAGAACTAGATGCGTGATTACCACCTCACAAAAGATCATCCCCTACAAGTTCAACATGGACCTGACAAGACCTACGCTCGATGATGGACGTGTGCTTATTCCAATGACCATCTAGAATATAAACTTTCACCAAACCACATTTGTTCATTACGGGTTTCACTAATACCTGTAAATGAGTTATGACTGTTTAAAATTTGTAATGTGTATTACAGATCTTCTAAGGATAAATTTTCAATAAATCTTATCTTGTGCAAACTCTAATCCAACAACCGTTGTGAAGATGTTATAAGCATTATAGAACTAAAAGATGGCGCACATTCTTACATATATTTCAAGCAATTATAATCATTGTCTGAACAAATTTATATATTCCACCAAAATTACATATAAACCGGTTAGCAAAATATATGATTATTTACACTAAATTAAATTAGAGTTAGTAGTATATGAAAACTTAGCATATAAAATATTCAAAACTTATAAGTATATGCAAGAATGAACGTCTCTCAAAGAAATTGATTTTTTCCCATGATGGGCATCATAGCAGCACACGCCATGTTCATACTAAGATTAAGTTTGTCTATTGAGATTTTAGTGATATTGACTTATGCTCAATCCTAACAAAATATGAACAATGAAATAAAAAAATTTGTTCATATTAAGCACAAAACTCTTATCATGGAACATCTTTTCACATGAAAAAAAATAGAAGTGTTTTGCTGATATAGACATTCTAGATTAAAAGAGAATTCTCTTATTATATATAGAAACTATTTTAGATCGCTTATACTTTTTCGATGTGAGATTATAACATTGTGGACTCCACAATTAAAATTAAGATATTGGAGAACTCAAATACGCTTTGACAAATAATTTAGTCATCAAGCCGGAAATATCAACAAAAAAACTCATTGATACGATGAACTCAACTGCCGAGTTTATGGACATGAAGAAATCAACCACGGAAATCAGTTAGTTTTTATAGGTAGTATGGTTGCGATAATGTACATGAAACAAGTTCATGATTCAATTGAAATTGTAAAAATTTATTAAAAAAAATTTACATCAATTTTTGTAAACTTTTGGATAATTTTTACGAGGATATATGTACTTCAGTAGCTTTAAAAATTATTTGCACCTATAATTTTTTAACAAAATGTTGTGACTTGTGAAATTAATGCATTTTCTTTCATTTATCTGATTTCACCAAACTAGAATTTTGTAAGTAAATAATGAAAAAATCCTAATTTCACCAAACTTAGAAACCAAAGCGAGCACTAGATCTGATTTCATCAATTTCGTTAGTTAATATACTTAATAGCTTGCAATTTGGATCATGGATAAAAAGAATAATTTGCCAAATTTATTTCTCGTCACAGTTGTATTGTCACTACAAGAAACAAGGGATTTAAAGTCATTTTATTAGGATCATTTTACTAAATGACCTTAAATTCTTAAACTATAGGGGATTTAGAGTCAGTTCAATAACTGACTTAATTATTTGATGTTAAATTCTAAAATCTATGGGCTTTTAAAGCCCAAACGCTTTTGCTTCAGCTTATTTTCAAAAGTCCAAATTCTTTAATACAAATTTAAGCCCATTTGGTTCAGCTTTTAAAGCCCAAACTCTATGTATTCTAGAATACTACGGGTCTTCTTCTCCAAAGCTTTCACGAGAACCAAATCGAGCTTTTGATCATTCAAAATCAGAATCGAAGATCTTCAATTCCATCAAAATCGAGGAGCTTCGTTTCTCTGATTTCTTCGATTGAGGTAATTCTTCAATTTCTAATGCGTTAAGATTGATATTTTTCGAAGATCTTCAATTCCATCAAAATCTAATGCGTTAAGATTGATAGATTTCTGGTCGATTCGTTATAGCTCAACGCATTAGGAGTCAGATGTAGCTCAACACGTTTGTTTCGTTTATTTATGGTCGATTCGTTATAGTTCAACGCAGTAGGTTGGATATGTGTGGTGTTCAATCGTTCTTAGGTTGGATCTGTGTGGTGTTCAATCGATTTCTTAGGTTGATTCTAACACTAATTTTGATTTCGACCATAAACTGAAGGAAGATACTGAAGTAAGGTACTAACTCTCTCTCTCTCTCTCTCTCTCTCTCTCTCTCTCTCTCTCTCTCTCTCTCTCTCTCTCTCTCTCTCTCTCTCTCTCTCTCTCTCTCTCTCTCTCTCTCTGTCTGAGACTGTTTATTAAATTCTTGTACCCTTGGTTGGGTTAGGTCTCCCTATACCTATGCGTGTATCCGCTTGTATTGCTAAGGTAAAGAGGACGCCACACTTTTGAAAGAGCGATGATGTATGATTGAAAGCCTGAGGAAGATTTCTAATTCGGAGGAAACTGTAACACCCTAGACACCCGAGTAAACCGAATAAGCGATAGGACAAAAAACAAGACACCCCACCGTGACATATAAGTGCCCCCCCGACCTTTACATTAAGATAGTCAAAAACCCT